TGAAGATCTTTATTCCTCACTCTCCATCTTTGTCAGGCCATTCTGCAAAGAAAAATTGCATCGATGAGTGAATTTACCGCGATGGACGAGACATGGTGAATTGAGGCGGTCTGGGGGTGCCGCTCTGTCTCTTGCTGCCCAGCCAAACGGTGCTCTGGCTCACCTCCATCGTTTGATCGTCTCGGGATACCTATTCGGGGATTTCATTGGAATGCGTGATCCCCATGGAGAAGGAAACTCTATCAGGTCTGACTTTCGACTGCTGTTGCGGGGAAATTAAGCCTCGGTTTGAGGAAAGCTTAGATAGCAAGTCTTGCTGGGAAGCTTCCAGTCTTGGTGAGAGTAACATACGCCAGTAAGCTGTAGATTGAGTCGGACCTCTGGCCGAGGCACGATACGATACCTGCCATCGAACGTGCCTGTCATGGAGTTGCAGTGCTGCCGAAATGGACGGTTATCGAGACGCTCTAAAGCATCAGAATTTACAGCACCTCGGGAAGGCCTCCAGAAGGACGCACAGCGCCCGTGTTGTGCTGAAGGTCGCTAAAATGACCCACATCCTCTGTAGCAACGCCCTAATCCAGCTGTCCTGAGCACTACATATTGGTCGCTGGCAAAGTCAGGAATTCATCAACTAACCGTGCCCGGTTAGCTCAATCGGTAGAGCGTGAGACTCTTATGAGTTCACATCTCAAGGTTGCGGGTTCGACCCCCGCATCGGGCTATTCCTATAATCGATACATTTTTTTGCAAATCGAACTTTCATTCCATTCTTACTTTTTAGTTTTTGTTGTTTTTGGCTCCCGGGGGGGGGGGGGGGGGGTTGGTGACCGTGTAACCTCATGTACTCGTATGCAGTGGGGGGCACATTACTGGGAAGCCGTTGAAGTCTTTCCATTTCATAGGGAGCATGGTCAATGATCCCATCCATCTGCTTAATACATAAAGACCCAATGATTGAACATTCAGAAATTAGACGATGATGTCATATGGAAAATGTTGCAAAGGCTCTTTGTGCACGAGCAAAGTCTTGTTGACCCGATTCACGATTCGCGGGATGGAAGGTATAGGGTAGTCACACTACCTGAAACCCGCATCCACAAATAAGCTCATCAACGCGTGAAAAATTGACACACGCGAGAAGACACTACGCCTATCAATAATTCCGTAAATGCAGTTGTTATTATTTGCTCTTTTGACTCAAGAATCAACTGTAGATGTTTTGAATTTTGAATTTTATCCCAAACCTTATGCACACTGCAGCCGGTAGTGTTGATCAATTTTGGCCAGCTAAACGCGGGCGAAAAGCTGGACACGGGCGCCCTCGTTCAAGTTATAAAATCTGACCCAACCAACTTGCCGACAAAAGGATGATCTGCTAGGCGAATAATTATTCAATGAAACTAGTCCTGATCCTGGGTATATTGAAGATTCTGAGAATGGGAATAAGGAAAGACAAACGAAAAAAAAATGATACCAGCCCAGATAAACTGGCGACAATACAACCCATCATTGCGTACAACATAAAATCCAATCGTATACAAACCGGCAGCGTACATTGAAACACTGCCTTAGCGCCAGTTCCACCATGTTTCTACCTCCTTCAAGACAGTCCCATACTGACTGTAGCATTGCATCCTGTAGGACTTCCCCTTGTTTGGCTTCTCTTCCCAGATGATGATGAAATCTGTCGCATTCTCGGGGTTAAGTGTGATGGCCTTGAAAAGGTCAGTTTACTGCATGTGCCAGTGTGGAAGTAATGGATAGACGTACAATTATCTTCAAGTTCTTTTTCTTAGACAGTATATCTTTGAGAGCTTGATAGTGCCCCCTGAGACCATATGTGAAGCCGCGGGAGGGCTTGACACCCCGGCTGTTCCTGTAGGCGATAACATATGCACCGTCGTAGCCGAGTGCTACAGTAACAATACGCGGGGCATCTCGCTTCTTGGGATCGTATATCTTGAGGGCATTTTTGAGGTTATCTGGTACGTTGGAGCTCCACGAAGACTTCCAACGAGCGTAGTAGGTCTGGTTGGGCCCAAGGGTGCAAGTCTTCAGATGATCGACTCCATGAGTGGCTAGGGCTTCTTGAAGTTGTGGATATTCGACCTTCAGATTTTCACTCGTCTCTGAGAATTTGAGTCAGCTGGGTTGGAGGAACAACGAACAATAGTCTTGTGCTTGCTTCACGTACCGACTCCATCCGAGTAACGGGCCAGCCAGGTTGGGCTGTCGCCGCACTTCTTTCCAAGATAAACGGACCGGAGCTGTCTTGATCCTGATGCTGGTGTTTGACCAGGTCCCTCGTTACTAGCCATCTATGTTAGACTCCTGGATAAGAAAACCCAAGCTTGTAGGCGATGATAGAGCTAGAAGAGTGGCCTACTCACCAACGAGTGATCACAGGGCTTATACAAGTATAATAGACGCCTGCCATCGAGATAGAAAATGCCAGCTTCCCTTTGCGGCAGGCCCATGGCTTGAGCTTTTTGTGGTGGTGCTCCATTTCAGTGTGCATATATTCAGCGCTCAGGCGATTCTGTAGGTTATCCACTTGTTCCCTCATCTCTTTTATCTGCTCGGTGTGGGCGTTTTGCTCATCATACATCTTCTGCTGCATTTTGCCAAGGCGGATGTCTCGCTGCGAGATGAGGCTTTCCATGTTGAAGCGGAGGGCGACGGTATCTTGCTCGACTTGTTGAATCTTGACGGTGTACTCATCGCGAACCTCTTTAAGAGCCTCCTCTGCTTCTTGGTCACGTTGTTGAATGGCCGCCCTCATCTGCTCTTCCACCTCGCGCAGCCGCTTCGCCCACTTCTCCTGCTCTTTGAGCAACTCGCTCTTGAGCTCTCGACCCGCCGAGGTTTGATCGAGTGTGAGGTTCTCATCAATCAATTGCTTCTGCAGGTCTGTGGTGATGCAATTGCTGTGTCCGATGAGTTGGTGTACCAACTCCTTGGCCGAGCTCTCGTTGTGGCCGTGTCGACGAACGGAGCTTCCTTTGCTCACCATCCAACCCCAGAACTCAGAGGTGTGAATCAGTTCCTCCTCTCGCCTTGTTCCCTCCTCCTGCGACACCTTGTCCCACATAGTGGTCACAAGAATTACCTGCTTTAGGGCATCTTGACCACACAGCTGCTTGAACATGAGGAGGTTCTTCTTGGCGGAACCTTGCATACGGACGTCGGTGATGCGATGAAGATAGATGATCCCGCTGAGCAAGATCTTGCTCTTGTACGAGCTTCCGAGCCAGACAGCAATCTCGCTGAGGACTTCTGTATCGCTCTTGTTGGTGTCGTCGAAGCCAGGGGTATCGATGAGGTATACGGTTTGTTCGGGCGACATGTCGTATGCGTAGACATCGACAATGGCCGTACCTGTTCCCATTAGGCCCGGGGTGCTCTAAGGGGAGATTGGGTGATGAGGGTCACGTACATGCTTCAAGAGTGTGCCCTATTCTGACGGGCTTCCCTGAACATAATGAGATGAATGAACTCTTACCCGAGCCCGTGACGCCCATTACGGCAATGAAGGCATCGTTTGGTCTGCACCCGTCGATGTTGATGAGCATGTGTACATGATAAAACAGCAGGAGTGAGCGTACCTCGAAGCGCGGCCTCCTCGAAAGTCCTCAGGCTCTGGAGGCTCCCGGGCAGCCGGGGCCACATTCTCTGGTTGATCGTTTTCCGGCATGGTTGGAGCATCATAGAATTCTTCAGATCCGTCGTCAGACATGGCTGTGATACCGTGAGTAGGGATCTTACGTGAGTGGGCAGGTCCAGCATGCACCAAGGCCATGGTGGTCACATAGGCGTTTATAAGGCCGCTGGGAGGGAAAGAGTCACGGCATGTTACTCCGTCCGGCGGGGACCTGTGTGACTGTTAAGCTTCAAGAGAATGAGGCACTGCCTGTGCAACATGCTGCGAGTCTGGACGCCTTGGGCTAATGAGCCTCACATTTGTTTGCAGATTCATGCGTATGAAAAGTGTTGAAAATGATGCCTAACCCCGGCAGGTTGGGCTGCTCGACCGGGCCAGAAATAAACTATCTTGGATGGGACGCACATGTAGGTAAAAGCAGGGTTGCATTGGCGGCTTCACAGGCCACGGCCATTGGCAGAGGCCTCGCTCGGTGGCCAAGGATGACCGCATAGCTGCATGATTGTTGTGGATGCAACGGTAGAACTGCAAATTTACGTCTGCGATGTTTTTGTCCATGGCCGTCATTCGCGCCACGCACGACACACATGGTTATCACACGCAGCTGACTCCAACCAGACGAAGCGAGGAGTAAGCCACAAACGCATCACATCACCAATAAATGCTCGGATTCGACTGATAGTTGCACTTCCACGGGTCACTCGGCCAAGCATGACACGATATTGAACACATCTTTGCGTCCCAGGGGCCACTCCCCCTATCCGCCCTTCCCCCCTTCGCTTCACTGCTGGATCCGCCCGTCATGAGAGCGATCTCCACGTTCCGGCCGCGATAGGCATGTCTTGCTGTGATGGTGCCCCGCGTCCTCCCGGCTGACCACCATTATGGGAGGGACAATACGGCATGCCTTATCGTATGCCTTAACGGTGGCGTAGGTGCCATTTGTGCGAGAGTGCCACCAATCACTGTGCCCTCATCGGCCGATGGATACAGGCGGGGTTTTGGACAAAGCACATTGGTCTAGACACTGCACATCTGCATCTTCTGTAAAGCACCGCCACGTTATCCACTGCTGGAGTGCTGATCAGTGCCGTGTACCGGAAGTTGGTTCGCCGAGGCAGATTTCTCGCTGCACAATTGAGGAGTCTGGGGAGCACTTGGCCTACTCAAACACACCAGACAGTCCCGATTCACAAGGGTTTCGGTAGTTCAATAAATTGCACTTTTCATCATCAAACGGTTTACGATCTTTCTAGCCACTTTGGTCGAGTCTTCTTGAAGCTCTGGTCCGAAAATCGGAGACAAACTGCTCTCCGTGTATCCCCAGAAAACCAAAATGAACCCCGATATAGAGAGCGTGAATGAGCGACTCGAAGATCAGGCCCGACGACTTTCAGCTTTAATCGGCGCAACAAAGCCCCGTGCCACTGACAGATTTTTCTTGGTCCTGGGTAGAACAGGCTCGGGCAAGAGTACCTTCATATCCCGCTGCACTGGGAAAGACACCAACATCAGCCATGGTCTCTTCTCATGTAGGAGGCCTTTCTCCCCTCTCACTTACGAGCTACTGTATAATAATCTTGGTCAGGCACCGACTCAATAGATGTGTTTGACATGAAATGGGAGGGGCGTCGCATTTACCTGATTGACACTCCTGGATTCAATGACACAAACAGGTCAGACATTGACACATTGAGTGTCTTGGCCACCTATCTGGGCGCATCTTACTCAAATGGCGTGCGAATCTCTGGCCTGCTGATGCTGCATCCCATATCCGACAATCGGGTGTCCGGCACCAACCTCCGGAATATTGAGATGATAGAGGCTATGTGCGGATTTGACAAGTACGACCACTTGGCCATTGCCACGACCATGTGGCCGGAGCATTCCACCAAACAGGAGAGGGCGACACTCAATGGCCGCGAGGCGGAGCTCTCTGGAAGTGATAAATTCTATGGTTCGATGATATTCAAAGGTGCAGTTATGTTCAGACACCATGGTACAGGGAGAAAAGGCCACGATAATGAGGTATCCTCAGCGAGGCGCATCTTGGCTCATCTCATCAGCCGATCAGACCGTCGTGTTCCAGGTGTCCTGCAACTGCAAAAGGAACTGATTGACGAACAGAAGACAATAGGTGAGACATCAGCCGGGACCGTCATTGCCGCCGATGTGTATAGACATCACCAAGCCCGGGAGAGCGAATTAAAACAGCTGGAGGAGAGGATACGGGAACATATTTTTGGTGGTAGTTCATCACGCCTTGCTGAGCTATCTGACATCAAAGCCATGCTGCAACAAGATATGAAAAAATTGGAAGAGAGTAAGGAAACGCTGAAACAATCGATGTCGGACCTTGGAGAAAAAGAATTTCAAAAAGCCAAACAGAAAATGGATGAGATTGAAGGCCATCTCATGGAGCAGGTAAATGTCAAAGAGGAGGACCTAAAGGACATGGAGGATTCTCTTCACCACATAAACAATGACCGATCTATGGTATTGGCCCTCCCCAAAGCCCGAGAAGCAGGCGACAGCTCTGGCTCGAATGGACGGAACCAAGCGAGCAGGCAACGGACGCCATCCCCAACGCCATCGGCTACACCATCTACCTTCGAGAGGCACCTCTTGAGCCAGAATGAGGAACTTATGAGATTGGTCAGGATAGCCAGGAGAGATGCCAGCGAGATGCGTAGGATATATGCAGCGTTCAAAGGAAAGACAAGGGACCAAGCCTTAAACGGCACGGTAAATGGGGTCGCTGCCGGGGCCATGTCTGGCATTATCGCTGCTGGTGAGACTGACTTTTCCCTTTCCTATGCCGTGACTAACAGTTTACGGGATTTTAGTCGCTGCAGGAGGGCTTCTCTGCTCTGTCATGTAGCAAGATGTTTGGAACTTCTGGAACCAAAAGGAATAGATTTACTTTGTATATCCTTGTCAATGAAGCAAGCACTCACTTATATAATGGCTAGCAAAGAAGTTTTGCGCAAAGCTGTCACCTAATACAATTCAACAGTAAAATTGATGTGAGGTTCAATTAGAACGTTACCTACTTCTGAAGATGTGAATCAGAAAATCACATCTGGGCATCCTCTCAGTGTGAGGGTTGGCAAAAGGATAAGATCCTAAAAAGATCGCGGATTCATCATCAACTAGACGCGTAATTGGTTTAGTGGTAAAATTCTCCGTTGCCATCCGAGCAGCGTCGGGGAGCCCTGGGTTCGATTCCCAGATTACGCATTTTTGCTGTTTCAGTCTACGTATTTTGCTGTTTTAGTTGGCTCTCCAGTTGGGGCTCTCTTTATTTTTGAGGTTGGGGCTGAAAGGTGCTACGGGAGGGCCTATCAAGGCCCAGTTATTCCCAGATCATGAATTCCAGAATCCGAAACCCTGGTGGCATTCACAGGTTGAGTTGCGCAAATGTCCAACTAGTAAGAATGATTAGGGTGCTGAGATTTCATGTGCTTAACTAAACGATCATAACGAATATTATCAAACTCCCGCCCGCAAACTGGGCATTTGCATTTGGAAACATCCAGACCCATTTTTTCAGCCTCCAGCCGGTGAGTAGCCACCAGGTGGCGGTAGAGGTCCCTCTCGTATGCAAAGCGCTCAGAGCACATAAGCATAGGGCATCTCTCCGGTTTGGATTTCTTTCTTTGATTTTTCCTTTCGCAGAAATATCAGTTTCAATTCTCTCATTCATGCTGACTAGGCTAGGGGATAATCACTTACATGAGGTCTTTGGGGTCCTTTCTTTTACGTCTCTTTGGTTCCCTTGTACCCTCCTTCTCACCCCATTGCAAGGGCATTTCTGGGCTGGGTGCACCAATTGGTTTTGGCAACAATGGGCGCCCAGGCGGACTGGTTATTTGTGTTGTCCATGGAGCTTGATCACAGAAAATCGGGACAGGCATTTGAGCCGTTGAAGAAGGGTATCCTGCGTGGGACAAAGGAAGAACATCGTTGCAAGTGGAAAAATGGGAGTAATGATTGAGAAACATACCCGCTTCTTGGTGCATAAAGATGCTCGGATCTAACATGTCATGACTTTGTAGGTTAGGAGATTCAGCGAGCGTGGACTGGCATTCGAGGAAATAGTCACTGATACTTCCTGGGTCACAGTCGTCGAAAGCAATATCCTCCAACCCACTAGATGAGCACGCACTTGTATCTTGTTCTTCGTCGAAAATGAGGTCCTCTGAGACGGTTGGGAGTGTCAACACTCTGGGGTCAATGGTGCCATCCGTAAAGGAGGCGAAAATTTGGTGGTGAGGCTCGCTTTGATTCATGGCGAACCAACTGAGCGAAAATGGATTGCCCACCTTGTGGGTATTGAAGTTTGTTGTGTGTTATGCAAGCAGAGCTATTGTGTAGTGATACCTCGACTAAGGTCAAAGTATGTAAATGGACACCTTTTACCGACGCTATCCGGGTCCAGCAATCTGGTACCTCTGCTTTGGTTAGAATATAAAAATAATTGAAGATTCAAGCTTGGTAATAATCTCACCATCACCAGAGGTCATGCGGGAAAATAAATGAGGGTTGGGAGCCATGCGACAATATCTGGAGACCGGTAAAGTATCCGATCTGATACTTGAAGTTGCATGGACTTTGTGAAGCGCAAAGACTCTGTTGCCCAAGACAGGCATGGCAACATCAATGCCTTTACAAAAGGTCCTCAACTTCAAGTATCATAGCCGATACTTAATCTGTCCTAGGCGTCGCCATTAGCATATTTCTCGTAGAAGTGTTTGAAATAGTATCAAACATGTCAAGAGAACCAACTTACTGGCTCCCAACTTGAAATCGGTAAAGCTGGAAATGTGGTAGGGACGCTGCCACAACGATGAATGGGGGAGGGCGGCACCGCATGACATGATTTGCCACAGCATGCGGTGCCACCCCGGTGAACTTGGAGTATTAGACGCCTTTGAGGATAGGTGTTTTCAATAACTGAATAGATTAGGTAGGTGTTTTCAATGATCAAAGAGACTAAGAGGAAGCGAAATCACGATGTAGATGTAGATGTATGAGGAAGAGATGAATCGAACGAGGGGATTGCTTTGCGGGCGGTACTTATAGGCACAGGTAGGAAGGAAAGATGACGGAGTACCACCCAAGGTAGGGGTCAGTTGCAGCCATCCCGATTTTGATTGGTGTTCACCAGGAGGCCGTCGATTAAGATATCACTGAAGCACCAATAAGGTGGAGAAGAATTTCAGCTGGGTTGCTTTTGTCTGAGACACTTCAGAGCAACCCAACCGAGTGGGGGCGTAATGTCCCTGTGCCCAAGAGTGATGCCCTCAAGCATACAAAAGCACATTCGCTATATCTTCTTCTTCTGCTTCCACCACTTCTTCTAGTTTCACTTCAAAATCCTCCCATCTTCCTCATCTACTTCAGCCACTTCATCTGGTTAGGTCAACTGATTTTACCTATCACGAACGATTCAACACCCAGCCAACAGTGCTGCCCCTCACCATGTCTATCAAAAATGAATACCAGCATTTCATTCCCCAATTTCTCATCAAGAACTTTGCGTACCCTTTCAAGTGCCCCGAAGCCGAGCTGGCTAGGAAGAAGAAGTGCAAATGTAGACATGAGAAGGGAAAATATCCCAACGACTTAGTCGTGAACTGTGTCAACCTGCAGACCTCGCCATTTTCAATTGACGTCCAGCCAGTCAAGAGAATTTTTGGCTCCCCCGGCATGTACTTGGACCCGAACCAGCCAACAACTGGCCGGCAGCGCCGTATTGAAAGCATGTTCGGCAAATTGGAATCACATGCGAGCTCCATCTTCCGGAGAATTGTCAAGTCCTACGAGGCCGGCGATGGAGCCATTTCGCTGACCAGGCTTGAGCGAGACGATGTCAGAAAATTCTTCTTTATATTGAAGTATCGTGGTAGTGAATTCCATCGTCGATTCTATCATGAGAGCGCCAGCGACTACAGCGCTAACGACCGCGAAAGGTTGCACGAGTATATGACACAGCGCGGTTTCTCTACTCCGCGAGATGTTTGGTACCATAATCTTGAATGTATCATAAATTTGAAGATGGATGCGGAGGGAGAGTGGAGGGAAGAGCTTCCGCGCCAGATGTTCTTCGACGACGCCCTCTGGTTCATCATGCATGTTGGTTTTTTTTACATGGCTCTTTGCACACCAATTGATCCGCAGGATGAGTTTGTTCTGACCGACAACTGTTACAATATCTTCGAAGGACCCAACACCTTCATGAAAGACAAGAGCACAGGCGAAGAGCATGGATCCTATCATGGCAGTTTTAATGAATTCGCCACCATTTCCCCACGTTTGGTGGTTGTGCTAAGGTCTCTAGCACTGCCGAATTCTCGGGAAGACATGGACCCTGAGATAAAAAAATGGCGTCAAGAAACATATGACGCTGCCTATGGGGACCCCTTTGGTCCAGACTGGAAGTCTCTCCTGCATGACCTCCCGATTGAGAAGGCAACGAACTCCTATAGCCAAATCGTTGGAGATTATATTGTCCCATTGCCGGAACATGACGGGAAGTTTCGCCCAAATGACAAGTTCATATTTCAATATTATCCTATTAGCCCTCGGCACGTTCAGATACTGAACAATCTCTTCTTGGAAAACGCTGACAGAAGCGACACACTTGCCTTCAAGAACCAAAATACCTTCCTCAAGATACTCGAGACTTATATTAGTGGCCCATGTGAATCGTTCAAAATTGCGGGTGGGCCTGACAAGGAGATTCGACTACAGTATCTCAAAGGGCTGGAGGCTCTTGCTAGGGATATGGGATCTCAGAAGACTCTTCTATACAGGGAGATGTCCATACCGTGGGGCATTGATTCCAAACGATTTATGGAAAAGCAGCTGGCCTACCGTGAGCTGGTAGACCCTTCGGGAGAAATGAACCGTCAGAAAAATCCAAGACTAGGGTTTTTTAACATTTATGAAAAGCTCCACAGGAAGGATTCCCAAGACGGTAAGAAGATTTTGTCCCTTGACGAAGGCCCATGTATTGCGCTAACAGTATATAGAGGCAGATCTCAGTCCCCTCGGAGACGTAGCTTTAGCCAAGAGAATGGCTCTATTTCACATCGAGGTTGAAGCGGAGTTCAGTAGTGCAGGACGGCTAGAAGCTCTACTAGAAGCGCGAATGTCGCTTCAATCCATGCTTCAAATGTCGAACTGTGCAACGTATTGGCTTTATTTGAAGCTATGGCGCAAATGTCTGTTTGGGGATGACGATGGTACTTCAGACATCGTGGACCTTATCGCAGATGATAATATAAGAGTCGGCCCAGAGGATGCCTTTGCGAATAGTGAGTCTCTCTCGGCATCTACCCATTTTGGCATCTTCATTACTCACATCAACAGCCGGACATATGTATAGCGAGAATGTCTTGAAGAATCTGATGTTCACTTCCGTTTGCCAAGATTTTACCTTGAGAAATGGAAAAGGAGAAAGTATCTGGAAAACCCGTTCAGAGATTCTTATTAATCTACCGGATTTCGTCATTTATTATTATGCTCTCTTTCAGACGGCAGGTATGAACAACTAGAAAGCTTCTGCAAAATCCCTTTTTTGAATCATCGCTAACAACCGGGCAGGAAGTATCAAACAATGCGGTATAGTGAAATTCTAGACACGCTACAATATTCCATCGCTGACAAGATTGTAGGGATAAGAAAGATTGAGATACTAGCTGAGTGGGAGGAGAGAAAGGTTCCGCAGTCGTCGAGCTTTGGACACTTGGCTTTGTATCCTTACCTGGACGAGGATGAAAAACTTGAGTTGGCGATACGAGTTCAAGTCAGATACAAGTTTCAAGCTGCTATGTTTGGAGAAGCAGAGCCTGAGGCACTCGAGGAATTAGAGCACGTCCTCTTCACGCTTACATATCCAACACCACCTACTGAGGGCTTTTCGATGCCTTCGGGACAGCCTGTCTATGTGAAAGGGAGACCTGAGGCGATTTATTATTGATATTTGTGTTTCTATAGTCAAGTAATAGTGATGCTAGCTAGCGGCTAGCTGCGGCAGGACTCAGTCGATGGACATCTCAACATCATTCTGCTTGGAATGCCGGCTCAACCATACCAATCCGTGCACACTCTGTTCATGCAGCCCCAGAAGCCCAAACCAGTGTAAATAGCTCAATATGTTTATTTAGCTAACTTATTATTGTATTTCCCACTCAGAAGAGAAGGTAGAAGAAAACTCTTAGCTCTACTCAACGGATTGGTAGGGGCTTCTTTTCCCTTCTCTTGACCTCGACTGCGCGATAATAGAGCATCTCATCCTTTATTTCTTGGACGACTCTATCCATGTCAATCTCTTCTCCAGAGATAACAACCTGCCCCATCTTCGAGGTCAGCAGCTCACACTCCCAGCAGCCACAGATCGAATAGTTTTTGCCAAAATGCTTCATATACAGCCCCGCTGTCCGATCAAATCCGCTGCTCAGCTCAACAGCGGCAATCTTGTCGTCATGATTAATAAATCGGCCTACCCTCGCCTTCATATCTTCTGCATACTGTGAGGCCGTGCACTGATGTGTATGCCAAACCAGATCAATGTCCAGTGTCGGGACGAGCATGGTACCAGGCTCCCGTTTCATAAGTTCAAGAAACTCGTCGTACCGGTTAATAGCTCTCTCTAGAGTACCCTCAAGACCAGGGCTGCGGATCCAGAGGTGGTCATGCATCTTTTCCACAAAGGCAAACTGGCGTTTCACGGCGTCGCGAAGCTCCTCTGCAATATGAACAGGGACATGTCTAAATGCCATTGAGTAAAGCTGGATCGACTTAGCCTTCTCCCCTTTAGGGAGCAGATGTGAGAGCTTTTCCGCGGGCGATTTCCCAAAAGAAAAGTCGTGCAGTCCAATGTAGGTTTTCTCCTTGACAGCAGTAGTCTGAACCGGCCAATCCTTAAAAATGGTAAAAAGATGTAATCTCATCGCCGTGTTTTTGATGAAATCCTGTTTTTCACGTGATGAAAGGCTAAAATCCCAAGTCTTGTTGTTCAAGTGATTGTGGAAGCGCTCCCAGGGAAATTTGACATTGATAATGGGATCTTCTGTGAAGTGCATGTGAAGTAAGACCGGATTGAGAAGAAGAGAATGCCACACCATCAATACATCAAGGGGTGGACAGTAGTCAACATTCTTGGAGCCGGGCTTCAGGCATTCTTTCCATATAAAGAACCGGATAACGGCAAACTCGATATACTTCAGCCACTTTCCGTTGTGCCATTTCGAAATGGTCTTAGTAGTAGGTTTAAGGAGGCTCGAATATCCCATTGCGGCACTGATTTTCTTGGAATTCAAAACCTGACTTCGCGTCGTGAAGAGCGTTTCGAGAAACTCCAGATGTGCCGCACATTCTGCGGTGAGAGGAGGATTCCATGACGAGTCCGGAGAAATCGACGAGCAGAATGATTTTGGGTTCGTGAATTCGAAGAGATGAGGGGCGGGGATTTTGGGAGCTTCTTCAGGGGTTGGAGCTGCTAGTGCGGTATTCGAAATGTACTTGTTGTAAATTGCATTGGTGGTCACGGTAGACTGGTGATGAAGGGATGAGACGTTGTCATCCGGAACATTTGGCCCTGGGGCGTGAAATGTGAGTTTTGAAGGCATCTTTTTGCTGAGTTTGCCCTTTGGCATCGGGGAGTTTGCGAAGTTTAAGGTGTGTAAATCCTAAATCGCATCGTCGGTGTGTGAACTTTGTTGTCATATCAGATCACAAGTCTCATGATACGGTCCTGGATCTGGCGGCACCCAGATATGCGCAAATTATCTAGAGTCTGCCTTGCTGTGGATAAACCCACGAGTTCATCAACGGCACAGCCACCATCGATCCCCACATACCCATGTCTCCCCTGTCTTTCCATCTCTGGACAAGCCCGAGAAAGGCCTCAGCCAGATAGTCCACATACCGAGACTGAACCCACAGCACGAAACAACAAGAATTCGCTCTTTGGCTTTCGATCTTTCACTGCGCTTTCGACTATTACGGCACCACCAATATGCGCTCTTCAGTAACCGCAAGATTGCGTTCCGCCTCCCTTGCCGTGGGTCCTTTCAAGCCCTCTCATATCACTAACTCGCCTGACCTGCCCCGGACCAAAATCGGCCCAGCCGCAGAACACCTCCACACACAGCTCCTTGAACTGTACTGGGAAGGAGTCGAGCGGGATGTAGAGCTCATTATGCGCACTCTGTCCGAATGGCGCTCCGAAGACATCCCGCGAATGGAGGAGGAGGAGGATGGCATGGTCATCTATGGCTACGAGACATTTCTGGATCAAGTGTGTGAAAGTCGGCGTAGCAAGTCCTGGGAGAATGGGGTGTCCTCGCCCACGGCATACACCGATTCCTTACGAAACCGGGCGTGGGAGATCCTTGCAGACGCCGAGAGCGAACAGCGACGAACTGCCGCCAGGAAGCTGATTGAGTATGAGAGTAGGAAGGACACCCTCAAACATCGCGCGCGCATGCTTCTCCAGGCTGCCCAATGGCTGGACTTTGACAAGGTCGTCGAGCACCGAGAGCCACTTCACAGTGACCTCAGACTGGCCCCGGCCCAGCTGAAGTTGACCATGGATCCGGACACCTCAACGTTGAAGCACCACAATGTAACCTGTGGCCAGTGCCACACAGCCATCAGAGGCTCTATGTTCATCAAGATTTTCGACCCTAGCTATGTTTTGTGTCAGAACTGTTATTTCACCCCACCAAATTACGGCAGCCAGGACTATTGCAAGAAGCTGAAAACATGCCCTCTAGACGAGGACATCACCGCAGAGATCAGCCAAAAGCTTTGTACCTGCCGTCGAGGTGCACAAGCTCAAGTCGAAGGGGACGGGAGCAAGTTGTTTCCTATGGATAGTGACCTAGGCCCGCGACACATTCAATGTGGACTGACAAATTTGGACAAATTTCTGGCCGAGGCAAAGTTTGACTCGACGCGGCTGAAGCAGGATAAGAACAAGTCGTTGCTGGAGATTTCGGTAGAGATGCTCTACGATACTAACAAGGCTTCAGCCAAAGGGTTCAGAACATCTGGAAACCTAAGCCAGTGGGAGTATTACATGCCAGAATTTGGGTCAGATGAGATTCACAAGCAAGGTGGAGGAACACCTCCCTATTTTCGCCCAGCACAACCTCAGCATCCCTTTGGACATGTCCATATGGCTGTGAGGTTTGGAACTCTTGTCTTTGAAAACGGAGTCGCCAAGTACGTGTCATTTTCCTGGCAACGGGTGAACCAAGCTAACTTCTGTGCCATAGCACCAATGGTGGCGTTGTCATCACTCCTCGAAACCAAATTAACCTTCTTCCGCCAGTTAAAGTCTCAGCCACAGGTGAAAGTGAGCGGAGCCTTCTTCTAACTGGAAACGACAAGAGGGTCCTCTATAGTCAGAATAGGCCCCGAATCCTAAAGCGATACAAGCTCGTCGCGAAACAAGTGGTTGGGGGGACATTTTGTGGATATTTGGATAAGGAAGCAGAAGACCGTATTCTATCCCTTCTATTAGAAGGTAGCGAAGTCAAAGGAGAATCTCAGAAGGAATATATGGGCCTACTGATGGCCGCCTTGAAGGAATACCTCTTCGATTATGTTGATCTTCACCTGAGAGCAATGGCTGGCAGGCTCACGGACCCAAAGTTGAACCTGGCTTGGAATTTTGCGTCCAACAACTGCAAGGACTTTTGCGAAAATCTCCTTGATTGTGATCATATCCAATCACTCTTTGCCTCAACCATATCCAAGACATCGACCAAACCAGCTTATCTCGTGAGCTTTGTGACCAAATCAAGGGGTCCTCTGGTTGTGGCTCCATGGTCCAAACACGACTCACCAAATGGCTTCGTGGAGGAATACCTCCTCCGCATACAACATGGACGTCACGAAGACTCTGACCTGATTGACAGTCTCTCAGAATATTGGTCAGACTTCGGGGCCTTCGAAAAGCCACTTTACCCTAATCAAAATCTATTCCCATGGGACTGCACCGAGGCCTACGGCGAACATCACATCAAATGCGGGTCATGTAACATATCGAAGCATGTGTGGGCGTCCCCCTTTGATGCCTGGTCTATTATATCCATGCACCTTCAGCGCGATGGTTTTCTCTACGCACAACATCACCCGGACATCACCTTTGCGAAAAGCCAAATGCGCCGAACAGAATGGTTTCGAAACAGACTCGACCTCCTTCTAGCACATGACAGTCTCCTCACAGCAGCCACTGCCATGGCCCGCAGCCCTGAAATCCGGAAAGCAACTCAATGGTTAAGCGGGTCAGACGTTGCTCCGGGGGTCCAACGAGCGAAGTTAGGTAGCATCCACCGAGCGCAGCCGCACAGCCATCACTTTGACCGCTCCAAGCTCGGGCAAGGTGGAGGGATCGGGGCACTCTTTGTGGCAGATTGGGTCAAAGGGACACATCAGTCTAGAAGGCACAAGTATGAACAAAGACGAGACGAGCAGATGAATCGTAAGGAGACACGATATGAACAGTCGTATGGGACTGCATCTAAAAGCCATTCCAGCGGTCGCTACTTCTCAGAGATGCCGTACGGAAAGGCAGACGCTTGGGACTGGTCAAGGACCTCGGGTAACATGTGGTACATGCAGGAATATGCAGGAGGATACGGGGGAGGATACGGGGGAGGTTCAAGTGGCGATGGGGGTGACTATAGGGGAGGTAATTCTGGAGGTGGTGACTCTGGGGGAGGCGGAGGAGGTGGCGGTTGTGGTGGTGGTGGATGTGGAGGAGGAGGGGGTGGTGGTGATTAGTCGGTATCTTGATCCTAGCCGTTACTTCTACCTTGCTATTACTACCTACTTTCTTCATGAAAGCAAACCCGGATAAGATTTATTGCATGACAATGTTACGAGTTAGGTAGCTTCTCTTGTGAAAGCGCAACTACCACCTCAAGCAAAGGTTCCTCTACACAACCTTGAGTAGCCGCCTGAGCGCCTTGGCATGTTCGCTGCAATTTATATTACTAGGCGTACGCAATGCGGCATATCCGGAAGCCGAGATGGTGACGCCTCCCTTCATCAGTCTGCCTTGCGATGAAGCTTGGTCTCCGCTCTCAAGTGAGCACCGACGTTACAAATCGCCCCTGTATTCTGGCTTGTCTTCCGAGATAAACAGGCACTTCTTTCTGGATGCCTACTCTGATGCTCTTGCTTACCATGAACGTAACAATCTCATGGTATTTAGCTTTGCACGGTGCAATTATATTCTATTCTATGTCAAGTGAGTCATATAGATCCCTCGAATATATACGAAAGCCAAACGCGGATTGCGGCGCGAGACAAGTGTGTTAGATCGGTAACTAGTATATGGCCTTGTCAACAACAAAAATGCCCAGGGCAATGGTAGGAAGCAAAGGGCTAATTGTTGTGCCTTGTGCATAAACTTGGAAAGTGACCATGACCAGTTTCCCCCTCCGAGCCCTGCTCAACTGTCTTAACATACCCAAATTACGCAGATCCCTAGGTATGCCATAGGAAACAGTCCATTGGATAAGTTCACCTCGCATTTCGAGCTTTCTTTCCTTTCCCCCCCCTTCTAGGGCAAAGAAGGTACAAGTCCATTAAAGCAAACATAGTTGACCACCATAGGTCATGTAGTAGGTTTAAGGCACAGCAACGAGATAGAAAGTATTCCGGACGGACAATTAAACGTCATCAAATATAGTGAACGAAGGGCCGCATGCATTCTACGCCCAATTGCTGTCACATGTCTTTTACTATAGATAGCCTACATGTACTGTTGCGGATGGGATGCGTACATGTAGGAAGAAGCTCTATTCTTGCCAGCATCAGTTGACTCAGACATCCGTTAAATCTTCAAGAAGGTGGTATTCTCGTGTCTCTGATCATTAGATAGAAATTGTTGCGTCCAAAATTTGGATGTTGCATCGAGAATATTCAGGCTCATCGATGGGCCACACTTGAAATTTGTCAGCAATTTCATCCAAACACGCTTTGTTCTCTCATCAACAAATGAAATGTGACGTGACTTTGCGCACCACCACATCAACCGCACATAAACCCCATCGTCATGTCGCGCCAAGGCGTTCGCAAGTACGATCCCGACAGCGGGCTCGTCTATCAAGAATGCGTGATCCCTCGCGTGAACATCTCACGAGATGAGCTTGACTGGTCGCGCAAACGCCCTACGCCTGTTGTCAAGCCTCGCGGCACCCGCGGACCTCGCTCGCTCGTCGATACTGTCATCGAGGTGGTTGGGAATCATATCGGTGATGTGACTGATCGCCATCTGGAAGTACTTCCTCCTCGTCTCGTAAGCCGCATCTGGCGATTTCTCGAAGCACGGTTTGTCGACCCCCGTGCCCATACACTCACTCTTTGGTCTGACATGAGTCGCTGACATTCTTCTCTCCAAAGCGGACTATGTCTTCACGCGTGGAAAATCTTCTCCAAAGCTCTCCTCCCCCAAGATGAAGAGAGGACGCTGAGCCTTTACCGTTACCGCCATCACATCTGCCAGCCGCGGGTCGAGTTAAAACGATACATCGAGCCTCTCACGTCGCCATCGGTGGATTTCATCACTCATCTAGTCATCAGTGGCGGCCAGTCTTTCAGCACTTCCGAGATGTTGTGGTTGACCGATATCCGGAATCTGGGCGTCTTAGAGATTATTCGTCCAGCAGATGAACTGGGCGCCGACTTCCCTGATGTCAGCGACCGCCTAATACGAGGCTGGACGGAAAGACCAGATCCTTTTCCCTTACTGCGTGTCCTGCGTATCTTTGGTGACGAGTCTACAACTCAGAAATCGCTCCACTGGGTTTCCAAATTCCCTTCCCTTGTGCTCTACGACGTAATCGGGGCGCGAGAAGACTGGCCAACACATGAGCAAGAGGCCATCAATCAAGGCTGGGAGTCTACCAGGCTCGGAAATATGGCTCTCGATGACTCTCTCCTACGCTACCTGACGTTATTCTCACATGTTGATGAGAGACAGGCAAAAAGTCTTCGGGAGTTAGCCCGCAGTGTGGATGCCGATCTCCTCTCCCTCTGCGGCGACTCAGGATGCGAAGTCAAGTTTGTACCGGACCGTCAGGCACCTGAGCTGATCGACTACCTCACCGACTCAGCCAAGATCGTCGGCAGCCTCCCGTCCTGGGAACGTAACGGTGCCGCCACGGCCACACACGGCTGTCACGGTACCATCTTCGAGGCCTGGGCGTTCTGGCTGTATTCAATCATTGGGCAGCTCAGTAATGATCGGGATCTGGAGAAACAAGGCACATCAGCGGGATCACAGGCGGTTGCTGGCCCCTTTGTACTCCCTTCTAAGCCTTTTGCCTCTTTGTTCCTTGGCCACAGTGGACGGGGTGGTATTTCACTTAGTCCGTCATACGTCAAACACGGCCTTTTTGCCACCAAGAGGTTTACGTTCATCAGACCCTCCATCCTACAGGGGAAACCAATTGAACAGTCGACACTTAAGAAGACCGCTACGAATGGTGCGAATTCAGGGGGGCAGCAGGGGCCGGCAAAGGTCAAAAGTCGGAAGAGAAAGGGATTAGGAGATATGCTAACGTCATTCATGAATTGAACCAGATTGACTAGGTATTTGGGCTGGGGGAACACGCGTGTCTGGTAGGATTAAATTCTAAGATGAATCAGATCAGATTGGACGCTCAATGTAATTAAACCTACCTTACTCTGTAGTACGCCTCTCGTCAGATACAATAATTATATTCATAAAAGTCCTAATCCATTACTGATCAGTAATTAATAGAAGGGCTCGAATTCCCCTACTCTACACGTCTCTATCACATCGGCCACCTTAATTTTCTAGGAGGGCGAGTTCCCATGATTAAAACCTCCACAAAGAGGCTATCTCTGGGGGCATACAAGAAAATGATCCGATGTCTATCAGAGCTGAAACTGGAGAGAGCCATCCTCTTTACGATATGGCCCTACACCATAGCGGTCGGTCTTCTTACTCCAGTTGTAGCAGCCACTCTGCATAGTCTCGAAACATTTAACCAGTCGTCCCACACCATTCTGAACATTAGGATCAAACTCCGTCGCTCTCTTCCTCAGTGCGGTAGCGGCCGTGTCAAATCGCTTGCAGCACTCAGCAAGCCCTGCAACCGTTAAAGCTACAGCATCGTTCATAGAGATGGAGTGCTCGTTCATAAGGACTGGGACCAAGGTAGTCGTTGCTCCATCAGCCTAGGACTTTGTTCAGTACTCTTCAAGACCGCATAAGTGAAGAAGACATGCGATCAACTTACCACTTCCTTCTTAAATGAGAGAAGATCATTTTCGCTGCAAGAAAAATTAAGTCAGCAAGTACAAACATACTCTATCAAAGTTCAGCACGCACAAGATAATGTTCTTGTTCACTTCAGTCCAGCAGTCCAGCATCTCCTGCGAGTCCAACAACGCTTGGGGAAAGCTGACCCCCATCATGTAACTAGCAAAGTCAGCCAATAGTTTAATCATATATCGGTACACAATCGGAGTAATGCTTACGGAGAAAAGGCGCAAAATGTGTACACAGCACTAGTGCCGAGTCTCGTTTCCCAATAGCTCTGGGCGGATGGAAATTTTCCAGAAAGGCGATCTTCTTGTTCCCTTTGACAAGAATCAATATATAAGAACACTTCATCCCGGAAGCGCCTCAAGGTATCTTTATCTGCCATTTTTCTCAAGATTTTTGCCGCCATGCCAAACATCTCGAGTTGGGGGTTCCGGTATTCCGGCTCAGGACAACCCTTGGCCTCGAACCCTAGATGCCAATTGACATATCCCTTGGCTTCGGAGCGGTACTGGGTACCGAGATTGATATCATAGGACAATTCTCGATCACAAGATCCTTCTTCACGATCGATGTTGTCATCCCAGAAGAAAAGAAAGATGGAATATATGACGACAAACTGGAGTCTCGGCAAATCGCAGTCTGGATACCATCTGGATAATCAATTAGATCTCAGAATCATTCCAGAACTGTTTTCAAATACACGGGGAGGAGTAAGTACGTACGTAGCTGCGAAAAGACAATATGCAGAGGCTCGGGCGTGACTCAGGTCTTCCTTTTGGGGGACATACCGCACCAGAAGCTCTTCAACAAGAGGCCTTATTTCCTCGACAAGCGGGTTGACCCCTTGAATCCAGTTGGAATAAAGAGAATCAAGAGGTGGCACATACATCGTCTGGCCCTGGACTTGTGCCAGAAGATTGGATGCAGTGCAGGAAGAAACAGCCATGGTCAATGTTTAGATTAATGTGAGGTATGAATTGAAATGCACCAAATTTGAGAGCTTGCGCAAGGATGATAGGTAGAAATGGAAAGAGTTCAAGCAGGAGTTTATTAGTCTAAAGACACGTGTTATATATGTTGGGAGGCCTAGTTAACGCAAAAAGAAGAAGAGATAAAGTCAATTAGGGCGACCAGAATCACGAGGCGCGGTGCTCAGCATTGCCCCGCCTACCAACCAACCAACACACAAAAGAGAAGACGAGCCGCCGTTTCAATATGAGTCACTCGGTGGATCATCTAACGGAATCATCCAAAATGGTTATCTCAAAGACTGTTAGGTTAAGAATGTTGGTTCCCTCTTCGCAACTGGCGGTCAACGGCCGGTGGTTCCTCGTATCACATCTTCTTAGGCAGATCGATGCCACCGAGCGTCCAATGGGGGCCTAAAAGTAATTCCCAGTCTGGAAAAAAGGATCAGCCTTCCCTGTTGGTAACGAGACACTCTGGCCAACCAACTTACAAGTTTGCCGCTGCCTTGCTGACAGGATTGGCTCGTCACATTGATCACAGCCCCCAACGCGTTGGCACGTGGATATTTCACCGATTTGGGGGCTGTTCATCGCGACGTCTGCCGCAATTCCAAGCTCCATTGACCGATGTCATAGGCACAATTTTCTGAATTGCGTCATCACATGGAAGCTCCACGTGAGCACCGGCGAAACTGTAGCATTCTAGCCATGCTTGCCTTGCGTTCAGCCTTGAGAGGATGTCGTAATGTTCCCAAAAGGGGTGATTCCAAACCAGCTCACTTGAATCACTGGCTAGGGCTTATCTTTGAGCCTCGAACTCCTCTTCCGAATCGGTCATGTTGCATATATCATTGCGTATGCGAAGAGCCCGATTCTGCTGCTGACCGAACTTCTTATCACAAACTCAAGATCGGATTGGTGTTTCTGCAGGTCAAGGTGGGGGACAGAATACCACGTGAGTCGGATATGATGTAAAGGAATTTTCACTTTAGTAAGATGGTACTTGGGTAGGGCTGAGTGAGCCTCAACCATCCGAACCATTTCTTTAGTTGATCTGAAAGACTAGAGCCACTCCCCTGCACATGATATGTCGAAATTTGATAACGTAGTACTTTCATGGTAACGACTGTTGAAGTAGGTATTATTCAAGCACCCATCAAACTCCAAATTATATTTTCCAACCACGGCAGAATCGTGGCATTTGCGCATTGTCAAGTTGAAAATATGTATTGGTAAAATGTATGATCAAATGTTGAAGTATATATAGTATGAAGAGAAAAAGTTTGTTAGAAATGGGAATAGAAACAACCAACTCCGCCTATTGACCAAAACAATGCCTGCGGTAACATGAAAACCTTCCTTCTAGAGGTGAGACTAAAATCTCGGAATATGAAAAGCAAAAGAATAGCCGAGTCAGGCTCATAGAAAGTGCAAGAAGCGCGGCAGCCCTTTTACTGGGCCTCATCACGCCATGGGTCTCATAGCTCGCGGTTTCGGCGCCCCCAATAATCACTGCGCTTGCCAGGGATATTTCTCTCTGCGTGGTCGTGGCCAAAGACAGTTCTGTCGTGGAGATCGACCAGAAGATCGCGCTTGGAGATCCTGGGGTTGATGATGCAAGTCAGAGTCTCGAAGTTGCAGACATGGCTAACACCGCAAGCCGCAGTAGTGAGGCATTGGCGGAACGGGCCGGTTCCATTGGCAGACGAGAGCCCAGCCAGCCCAAGGAGGACCAAAGAGATGTTTTGGATGGCGACCATTTTGTTGTGACTTGGTGAATGTGTCGGAAATTGTAGAATTGGCGCGTGGAGAAGCGTGTGCGCAACGAACTCAAGAGCTGGGATTTAAGGGTAGATTGCGTGATCGATGCCAGATAATCTTCCGAATCTCCAAGTCGGGTTGAATGGAATTTATACCAAGATCTCAATAAATAAGCCCGGCGGAGAAATCGAGGTAGATACCCGCGTTAATTATCCCCCCCCGGATGATCCGCTGTTGACACCTCGGCGATGCTGTTATACAGTTAGGACGAAACCCTATTTGACACAGGTTATTCTTGGACGTTATAAACAAATTAAGGGCCTGTAATACAGCGTGACGGCCACCCACGCTGTCCCGTGTGCTGACGGTTTTTTGCGTCAAGCCCAGCCAAAGGTCCGGTGGAACTCGGCATTGACGAACAGGGGCCATCTTGGCAGTGTATCATCCTCAAGGCACGTCTCTGTAGCGCGAGATACACTGATCGTCTAGCCAGTGCGTGGCCCTCTAGAATTACTGCTACTTCAGGGCAGCTGCTCGGGGCTGGCCAGTGTTACGGGCGTGTTCGTCTAGTAACTAACCGTTCTTTTCCGAGTGCTCTTCTCTGTGGGTTCGGAGCTATAGTGAACGATAAGCTCATTAACATCGGCAATAATCTTCAGGGGCTGCAGACCCCGGCTCTTGGACCAGTCAAGCTGTTCCTTGAAGAGATAGCGGCCCATGGGGTCCCATGTCAACTTGTCGGTCTCGGTGTCAAAGAGCTCGTCCGTGTCAGAGCGTGTTTGGAGAATGATGGGATGCACGGAGACAGTTCCGTAGCCTTTAGTACTCTTTCGGTGCTATCTATTAGGTGACGTTTAATTGCTCCGCGTGGAATTAATTTAGACATTTGAGATTTGTTAGGTTCTAATACATCGTAGACTCTCGCTGCATAATCAAAAGAATAGCACCGTCATTCCCTCCCTCTTCATGATTCGTTCAAAACTCAACGGACTTGATGGTCCAGGGTTTTCCGCCCACATCTTCTCCAGTAGTATCATGGTGTCGCGTACACTCTGGGCAGAGTAGATTTGGGAAAGCAATTGTAATCTTTCGTGAATCACGCGACGATGTTCGCCATCTCCTGCACAAGAGCCAAAAATGGCCAGCGGCCAGCAAAGCATTGTCGAGATGGGCGACTCCGGGGGAGTGGACATGAGAAACGGTAGAAAGGTATCGAATAGCTCTTGGACTGTGTCGGGGTATCCGGACAGGGCCTCCCGATTGCCTTCGGGGATGGAAGCAAGGTATACTAAGAGCGCTTGCTGGTATACAATTCCACAAAGGGTGTAGTTGATCTCGCGCGAGTTAGGTTCCCATGAGGAAATAAGGGTGTATAGTTCTTCCTTTTCACGAAATAAGGAATCCGAAACCGACCCTGCTTGAGTTTCCGCAGCCCAGTGGCGCGACAGGACAGAGACTCTTGGTATCAGTTTGAAAAGCGCATGAATAGGCGATGACTCCAACATGGGATACAAAATGTTGCCGTCGTTCAGGACCCATTCATCCGATTCCGATCCCATGGTGATATGAGCTAGGGTCATCGTGTACATGTAGCGTTCGATGAGGAATGCCCTTGTATCTTTGGGAAGTTGAGATTCTGGCAGCCGCAGAGCTTTCTGTATCAAAGCGCTCAGCGCTCGCAGATGATATAGCGCCAGTCTTCCAGAGTTCTCACGGAACGTCTACGGGTTTATGCAGTCAGTTCAATTGTCACCCCGCAGGAAGGTAATTAACAAGCGCGCGCATGGAACTTAGAGGATGAGAGACACCAACCTCAGCGATACATAGCAGCATTGCCGTGACGAGCAAGGGAACAAGGACATGATCATTCCCTTGGGCAAGCCAAGTCAGCCCAAACTTCTGGGCCTGGACAGCTTGTCCGTAGTGAATCCACGTAGTTTCATCGGCCGGAACACCAGCGTGATCCGCATAATGGATGCCGCTATAAGCAAGCAAGCTATCCAGAATGCTGTCGTTGGATAATGCCATTGGGACCAGTTCAGAGATGAAGGGGTTTTTAGAGCCCTGGAAGGTGGCCATGACCTTATTTGCGCGATGAACATAGTAGTGAAACAGCCTTCTAGAAACAGGCAAGGTCATCTTCTCACGCAATAACTGTAGCTCAAGGGGCCGGGGAACCTCTGTGAGCAAGCTCGACGGCCAGCCTTCGGAATCACCATCGTGGGCCAGTCGAGCCGCAGGACCTACTACTGTCTGTGAGGGTTGAGGAGACAAGGAGCTGTCTGCGTGCCGCTTCTTCCGCGTTGGGTTTGTTCGCCGCAGCAAGGCTGCATGTTTCGAGTTTCCTGGCTCCGGCCAAGTGCAGAGGATACAGTTTCTCACGCAATTAACACACTTGGGCTTCTCTCCACTACACTTCTTACGCCGCAATCTGCAGCCAATACATCCGGGGTGTCTCATGAGCTCGGCTGTGTTGCTCGGGGTGCAAAGAGCGATGGTGTTGCTGGGTTGCGGGTGAGCACTGAGGGGTAGACCGGGGCTGGTGACGGAACCCATTTATCTACAATACTTATCAAGGAGGCCTGGACCAGCCGGCAACACTTATCCTAACTAGCACCAATGGCATGTGTGTGTCCAGCTGTGAGTGGAGTTCTCGATAGCACGGCGCTTTATTTAGGGGCATCCATGTCACCCTTAGCCAGACCCGCACCCATGACTAAAACCAAGTCGTCGTCCCAACAAGCCTCAAGATTCGTGGAAAGGTTGGATATTTTGCATAACTGCACATTCACTCGAAAATCTTAAATCTGCTGAGATCTGGTTGGCATGAAGAAGAAGGAAACTATGCCAGTTCTATTCGTTGAGTCATGGATAATGATCAAACTAAAACCACTTCGCAAACGTGGATCCCTGATTCTAATGTTGTGATTCGAACAACAGAGTAAGTGCTCTGGATCTACTCCAGCGCCTGTTTCGTAACGGCAAGTATTGAAGTTGAAATGTTGGAGTTGAAATGAAAGCCCATGATAAATTTACTTTCTACCCCTAATTGCTTGCACACGCAAGATAGCGACACAGCTAGATGATGTCGTCTTCTACCAAGGAAAGTTGCTTGGAAGCTCGCCATCCTCGCAGATTCCATCCCTAACCTGTTTCTGGTGGAGTTCATCCAAGTATGGAAGCAATACTTCTTCGTACATGTGGCGTCCTTTATGTCTGGAAAGTACTTGGTCAGTAAATCACACGTCAGCCGGAATGGGAACGCCTACTCTGCCAGCACGTCATCCCAACTTCGAATCAGTGAGGCCAGTCTGCCGGGGACTCCGGGCTCCTGGGCCACCTCGGTCATGGGCTCGATGTAGGTATGCACCATCCAAACAATCGCGCCTGATTTGGGCAGTCGTCGCAGAACCTGCCGCTCCTGACGAAACCAAACCTGAGACACATCAGTAATCGGCTTTGGGGGTTCCCATTTTCCATAACTGGCTGTTCCAACACCTGGTCCACGCATTTTGGGGTCCCAGTCATCCTCGGGGCCCATAGTTAATGTTGGCCAGTGGAATTCATCTATTGAGGGGTCAGATATAGTTCTATCTTCTCGGAAAGCTGGGATTTCTTACCGTGGATACTGATTCCAGTCGCTATACATCAAGATTAGTACATGAAACCAAAAGCGCGAAAGAGAAGTAGAGAAAAGAGGAGGAAAGTGATATCGGATATAACTTACTATTTCGGTGGATAGGTGACTCGACCTTGAGTTTGCTCAGAAACCGGTCAAGCGGTCGCTGTAACTGTGCTTGATAGTGTGGGATGTGACCTTCGATATGGAGGTCTGCTAGGTTTCTGCCAAGCTTGTCTTTGATACGTTGGCCACCTCCAATTGCAATCATCATTGCCACGAGTTGATAGTAACCTTCTTCACCCCTTAGTAGAATGTTGACATCTGTAGGCTGAATGAGCCCAGTGACAGTGAGAGGGTCATCCTTTGTCAGATCATATGAGGCTCCGAGGGCAGGCATCGCAATCTTTGTAATGGACCCTTTCCCGTGCCAGCCAGAAGTGTCTTTCTCAGATCTCTCGATCACATAGACGCCGGGGTATCGCATGGAGAGAAATTCACCGAGATCCTGGCAAAGTTCAATAGCAGCCTCTCGCGCTTGGGGGAGCGTCCTGACCACCTTGTCGCCTCGGTCTGCCAATCGCGCAACCTTGGCATGGTGATACCGAGGCCAGTCCTTGTCAAGCTAAGACCACAGAGATCAGCAAAGCATCGGGCAAGAGATGGTAATATCAAGGCATGACGGCACCAACCATAACCCAGGAGTCAGCATCCAGCTTCCTGACATCGATAGTGCTTAACACTAGTTAATATATCGGGTGATCAATAGTGATTTCCAAGGAACTCACTGTCGACGATAAGAGTAACGAAACGCCCTGAACCTGGGTGGTTCCGTGCTCTTGATATCAAACGTCAAGTCTGGGGATGGGTCGGGGTATGTCCAAGGTTCTAGGCACACATTGTCAGCGACATACTTATCGTCGATGTTTGCTGCACGTACTGTCTACTTCAACAGCTACATTCGGTAGGCTCTTTGCAACAGCCCGGCTCCTATACCAATGCAGGATGCCGAGCATACAACAAGGTACCCAAAGAATGGCATAGAACTGCAGTTTGTCAAGCATGTTTAAAGATTGACCAGTTTGCGACTGAGAAAAATGTCATATGTGGAAGTCGGTATACCAACTCTTGCCTTGTGAACAATATGATGTGATGTGATGTTCATATAGTTTTCAATATCGACGGTTCTTTTATACACCAAAGTAGCCTAGAAAGAAAATAAAATAAAATGATGAAGACGACCACGAAACGTCTGCCGACAGGGAGTCTGGGCAGAAGGCAGTGGGTTCCCTGCCACACTCGCGGATCTAGCCTTCGATAAGGGCGCCTTGCCATGAAACTAGTCAAGTTGCTGATAACCGCGCCTTCGCCCCCCCATTTGAGTAGAGGCCTGACTAGTTAGTTGCCCCGACTCTCTCTTTGGCTCGTTTGCTTATCAGCGGCTCCGTAATAGTACTATGGCAACGATAAGCGCGCCTTCATCGCTCACACAATCCTTGCTTGTCTGGGGTGACTGTCTCCACCTGATGCATGGAGTGCATGCAGAAACTAGCAAAGTATGGGGTTCGCTTGATATTGACTCGTGATAACATCAGCGTTTTCCCCTAGCCATCGTCATGGTTGGGCCATTTCGGTATCATGTGTCCGACTACAAGATGAACAGGTTCCCCAATCCAGATACAGGATTGAAAAGTTTTCTCATCAGATATCATTTCTCATAACCTCATCCCAGTCCAAATCAACCTAGCAACGCATCGTTCAATAGCGTGTCATGGAGAAAAAATCTCTTTCCGCTGAAAACGTCCAAGAGGCCCCAGATGTGGTATGTTGAAACCCTACCTTGCGCGCCTTATCCACCGATGCGCGCCTTCATCTTATTCACTCTCTCATAGGATCTGGGCTCGACCGTGAAGCACGGATCCTCTCCGGGTATTGAACTCTCTGAATATGGCATTCATCGTGGTCTCAAATCCCACCACATCCAGTTGCTGGCCATCTCTGGGGTCATCGGCACTGGTCTTTTCGTGGGCACTTCCAGTGTCCTCAACGCCGCAGGACCTGCCGGCCTTCTCATCGGATACTCGATTTGGTTAGCAAACGTTTCCGAAGGGGGCACATGCTGCAACTCTTTGCAGGCTAACTATATCTCCCAGGTGTGTCTTTCTCTTGTGTGTTGCCCATGCCATGGGTGAGATGTCCGCATACCTTCCGGTCCCCGGCTCATTCGTCACTCGTAAGTTCATGCACTCCCGTATCATCATGACCGGTTTACCAACAGCGAAAAGACATCGGCCGATTCGTTGATGAAAGTGGCGGAGTCGCAATGGGTTGGATCTATGCTTATAGGTAAGCACCTTTTCAATTCCAGATCAAGTTGATCAATGCTAACATACGTTGTTCCTCCATGTAGCATGTGAGTGATAACTTTCCGTAACACTGGACTACTAACATTGCTTTTCTGACATTTGGCATTCAACTCCTAGGATGTAAGACTTCCATAACTATTCCCGTTTGTTCAAATACTAAATACGATTTCCTACAGGATATTCACTGCGGCCGATTGCACTGCCCTCACCGGTCTCTGGTCATACTGGTTTCCCGATATCAACCCAGGTGTTTGGGTCGCATGCACTCTGGTCGTCGTCTTTGCCCTCAATTGTCTTGCTGTGAGATATTTCGGAGAGGCCGAGTTTTGGGCTTCCATTCTGAAAGTCTTTCTCATCATCGGGTTCTTGCTGTTCACATTCATCGTGGTATTGGGAGGCAACCCGCAGCATGATCGAATAGGGTTCAGGTATTGGAAGGACCCTGGAGCATGATCGAATAGGGTTCAGGTATTGGAAGGACCCTGGAGCATTCAATTCCCAATATGTTGAAGGTCCAGCTGGGCGATTCTTGGCAATCTGGGGCGTCTTCAACACAGCAGCATTTGCTATTGGAGGCCCTGATTTCATTGCCAACTGCGCACCAGAAGCCGTCAATCCCCGAAGGAATATCCCCAAGGCCGTCAAGCGCGTCATTTACCGCCTCATTGTCTTCTTCATTCTATCCGTCTTTGCAGTCGGGCTTTTGGTCCCGTACAACGATCCAACAATGAGTGAGCAACTTTCAATATATATACATGAGATCAAACGGCTAACATCATCTAGTCTCTGCAATCGCAACCGGAAACGGAGTTGCCAAGTCCCCATTCATCATTGCTATGAACAGACTGAAAATTTCCGTTCTTCCAGATCTTTGCAACGCCGTCGTGTGAGTCACGGCTGTCAATTTCCCGGGAGGGCATCTTCTAATGCGGCAATAGTATCACTTCAGCCTGGAGCTGCACCAACTGTCTCCTCTTCCAGGCCTCCAGAACAATATTTGGTCTCGCAAAGAACGGCAGGGCACCTAAAATCTTTGCAAAATCTACGAAGAGCGGCGTTCCTTTGCCAGCTCTGATACTGTCCACCGCCGTCGCTTGTCTCGCCTTTTTGACGTGCAACACTGCTTCAGCCGTTGTGCTGAATTGGTTTATCAATCTGGGTTCGACGGCGATCATGATTGCTTACATCCTCATCATGGTAAGTCTTTCGGCAGACGAGACTCTTATCGGTCTGTTGACTGTATCGCCATCACTAACACATCATGATCACTCAGGTTGCCAATTTGAGGTTTCACCAAGCTTTGAAGGCGCAAGGTATTGATCCGTCAACACTGCCTTTCAAAAGTCGATTCACTCGTGAGTAGATGTTATGTAGAAAGTCCAAGATGGTTTTGCTCACCTGAAGAACAGCATACTCGAACTATTTTGGCATTTTCTGGGTTGGACTCATCCTTCTTACCAACGGATATGGTAAGTTAGGCAGCTAAAGGTATCATTTCTATCACGCCACTAATCACTCCGCAGGAATTTTTATCAAAGGCCACTGGAGTTTCGCAGGCTTTTTCACCGCTTACTTCACCATTGTATTCTTCTGTCAGTCTACCATTGAAGAGCCCTGTTCTGCCTGGGGTGACATACTGACTCTCTGCAGTGGTGATTTACCTTGGCTGGAAAATTGTCAAGAAGACCAAATTTATCAAGCCGGAGGAGATGGATCTGCACACCGGCTTAGCTGAAGTTGAAGCACACGAGAATTCTCTTGAATTTCGGGCCCCAGCCTCACGTTACGAGAAGTGAGTACTATACTAGTTAATAACGCCTATTAAGAAGATAATTGCTGACCTTGCATTATAGATTCTTGGACTGGCTTTGGTAAGCTGGAGGCCAGAATGCTACTCCCATACCAGTTCATTATTCAGCCGCCACACGCCAATTACACAAAGCTTTGTAGAAGTCTAAGTGTAGAAAATACGAGTGCAATTCCTATTCTAGCAATCCATAGCAATTAAGGCCAAGTTCTCAATACTAAATCCAGAGATAGAGGCGGCCATTATTCATATTCCTTTCAGATATCAGCACTACCTCTTCATCACATCTTAGTGATCCACGTATACAGACTGTACCCGGATTTAATCAACCACTATAAGTAAGGTATGCCTAAATTGCTATGTTTCCCTGAGAAGTGAGGTTCTCAATTAGCTGCGACTCACATCCTGCCCTAAAAGTATAGCACCCAGGTCCAATTGGTTGCGTTTACTGTCAAAGCATCACGAAAGTTGCCTTAGATTGAAGTCAGCTTGAGGGATTCGTGAGGCCTAGGTCAGATACTACGTCATCAACACCCCGTCATTAATACATATCAGCACGAACAAACTTTTGTTTCACCTTTAAACGGCTCTCGGTCTTCAGCCCACAGGACAGGGGAGAAATGGGTCTCCTCCCCGCACCCAGCCGGCATATCTTAAGGCCTTGTCAGCACCACTGAAACTGAAACGTACGGTTTATTTTTGGACTGGTTGAGGTTGCGGTCATTTCTCACGCAAGCACGCGGTAGACAACTACGCCGCCCCCCAGAGGATGGAGTATAAACCGAAAAGGGCGGGAAGGTAATCACAAAACCGGTCCTTTCTCTCATCGACGCAATAGCCGAGTGTGTTGAGGGTGATGTTCGCTTTGTTGTTGATTTTCTTGAATAGCTAAGTTGCCACACGACCTAATCAGGCTCGACTTGAGAATACGTCTGTCAAGCCGGCAGTATCCTACAATTACGATGAAGAAGAAGATTCAGTTCATCGTTGAGACTGGTCCGAGCATAAAAGTGATATATCTATAAATGTCGAAGCAAAACTCAGCCGGATGTCACCCAATCCAACAGGCTTCCACTCCTTCGGAGATAAAGTCTAGAAGCCCAGCCAAGTTCTGTAACCTGATTATTTTCCAATCCTACTTTATACCAACTATAGTCTATTACACATAACCTTGCAACTAAATAGTCAAAATGATTCATCCAATAGACTTCATCCTGAAAGTTTACAAACAACCCTTTCCGTACCCTCCTGTTATCAGTAGTTCGGATCCAGTTTCTCTTACTTGAGGGATACCCAGAAACGCGAAGTACCCCACGCCAATATTACAATATCTATCATCACCGACGTGCCACCCCCATCTTAGACAACGTTTCCTCTAACCTGCTTGAGATTCTTGAGGGAAATATCCCTCCACAAGAAAGAGCTCAGCAATCCACCAGCGAGGAGGCACACGCTGGTAATAAGCATGTATCGCTGAGACTCTCCATAGGCAAGAGAGATGCCATGGCGGATCTCAGTGCCCGGCTTATAGGCCAGCTGGGTATACAAACTCCCGTAGATGCTATCAACCAACTTCTCAGTAGGGAGATGCTTCCTGAGAGCCTCCTTGAAGGTGCCGGTCCAGATAGCAGCGGCAACAGTGGAGCCAACGGCGGTACCGATACTGGAGAAAAGGTCGAGGATGGCAATGATGGCCGCAACATGCTGATGTTCGAGGGGCGTCATCATGGCCATCTCTCCAGCAAGCACGATGGGGCCACCGGCGAAGGCGACGAAGATCTGCGTCATGACGATGTACCCGAGGTTCTCCTCCGGCTGGCGGAACTTGATCATGAGGCCGACGCCAAGCATCATGAGGGGGATGGCGAAGTAGCAGGCGACCCACTTGAAGCGGCCGGTGTACCTGACGGCGTAGCCGATGAGGAGGCCGGAGAAGCAGGAGCCGACGCGGTAGATGTTGGAGATGTAGGTGGCCTTCTCGACGCCGGTGTTCCAGACGACCATGAGCATGGAGGTGAAGTAGGAGCCCCAGATGGCGGAGTTGGCGAAGATGAAGGTGAACATGATGCCGCCGAAGAGGACGGTGCGATCGGCTAGGAGGTTCATCGGGATGAATTTGACGGGGGCCAGGTATATCTCGTAGAGGATAAAGAGGCCGATGAGAACGACACCGAAGATCAGGAAGCAGATGATCAGGGCCGAGCGCCACTGTTCCGCCTGGTAGGAGTATATAGAGAAGGAGAGGAGTAAGAGGGACATGCCGGTTGCAAGGATGAGGAGACCAAGGACGTCGAACTGGACGATGAAGTCCTTGACTGCTTGGAAGGTCAGGGGCTTGGACTCCTTAGGAAGGACACCGGCCTTGCGGGCTTCTCTATTCATGTAGAAGAAGAAAAGGGGAAGTGGGATAACGATAATGGGCGTGATGATGGTCCAGATGCCGAATCCCCAGCGCCATCCGATACCAGCGATGATTCTGTCTGAGACGGGCCCACCAATCCAGGGCGTGACGATATAAGGCGAGGATGCAAAGGCAAGCATCAAGGAACGGTTGAGCAGGGACGACGTATCTGCGATGAAGATGGTCAAACAGTAGCTGACACCTTGGGCTCTGGAATCCATCGTGAGTATTTGAAGGAGAATTTAGTACGAGAAAAGGATGTTCAGAGCTTACCCAACGGAAGAGAAAACCTGAGCGGCGGCATAGGTCTCAACATTCCTGCAAGCAGCCATCATGACGATACCCATGACCCAAAAGAGAAGGGTCAGTGCCAGACCCTGGGGACGGCCCCAGGTATCGAGAATCTTGCCGATAGGCAGCTTGGAAAGGCCACCGACTATGCTGGAGATGATAGTGACAACGGGTGTCAGAGAGTGCCTCGAGAAGTCACTGACGACAAAGGGGTTGAGCGCTCGGAGGACAACCTCCTGGATCGAAATGACGAAGTAGATGAGCCAGATCCTGGGAAGTCAGTCAGCATCCCGGATTCCCCGGAACTCGTTTCTTGAAGCAACGCCGCAGAACAGCATTCTCAAGATTCAAGATGGATCGAGTATGACTTACATGCCGTATGCGATGGCGATGTGCTTCTTCGTCCAGACCGTGGTGACGGCCTCCATCGCCTGAACACCGGACTGGTAGTTTCCTCCTGCCTCCGGGACGGTACCATCATCTTTGCCTCCCTTCTCTTCAGATACGTGCGACTCATTGTTGCCATCTTTGTCGGCGGAGGCAGGCTGAGGCTGCTCGGCAACCTCAGTGACCTCGGCCTTCTTCTTGCTTAAGTTCAGCAAGCCCATCTTATCCAGACGGGGCGGCGCAGCGCGGTTAAGGGTGCTCCAAGTAGGCGATTGTTGATCAGGGTGAAAAAGTCAGAGATGGAAGAGGGGGCACGGCACTGAAATGGTGTGTGCGCTCGTGTGGACCGCTGCGAATCGTGTCAACTAACGAACAAGGGCTGCCGAGGCTCCTAGGGTCCGTTGAGAAGAGGCGGCCAGCAAGGTTGTAGTCGATCCGGCACGGGTGTGTATATTATACTCACGGCATGGCGCCCCTGCCGAGATTTACGAGCATGGATCAAACACGACTTGACTAAATCGCCATTAGGGGGACGGAGGGCGGCACTATTTGCTGGGCGACGTTACGAGTGGACTAAGTGGGTGGAAGAATAGAGAGGGAAAAAAAGAGCCATGGTGCTAAATCCAAAAGGTCCAGAAATGCGCGAATATCCAACCGCGATCGGCTCTCGGAACATCGAAGAATGACCTGCAAAGACAGGGAAGGGACAGCAGCTGGGAGCCAACAGGGTCATGTAGGGTCAGGTCACCGGTAGGGCAGAGCAGTAGTTCAGGGCTCGGGCATTGGCAGAGAGTTGGCAAACACCAGGCCAACAGGGGGATCCGGACAATGGAGCAGCCGGGAGAACTCAGTTTCCCGAACAAGCAGTAGGTTCAGGCGAGCGGAAGCGAGTCTCACAGGCGGCAACGGCCAGTGACTAATGGCCAGGCCGTAAAGCTGAGCAACCCATGCCAGAACAGATGAGTTGCAGAGGAACTAGGGGCGAGACTGGATCGAATGGGGATGGTCCTGATGGAGACTCAGACGCGCCAAGACCAATGATCCCGTCTTATCTGATGATCTGATAAAATTTTATCTCATCAGGCTTCTCCACCCACACTGGAACCGAGACTCCTGGATGGTCCGCCGGATCACCAAGAGCCGTTAATGCGGGCTAGCTCCCTCGAGCTGAATCGAGCAGCTGGCATGGAAATGAAGATGGCAGACAAAGTCCCTTGTCCCATCCCAGTCCGCCACCACCCTCGTTGGGTGAGATGGAGCGATTTCGGACAAGGCAGGTGTCTCGCCCAGGAAGCCTGTCACATGTTGCGAGAGTGAGAGAGAGGAAGAAACTAGTCTGCAACGAGACCTCTTGACTGCCCAAGTCACGCCGCGAGCTTCCGACGTGCCGAGCGATGCGTCTCTTTCTTCTGGACTTGGCGCAATGCGAACCTGCGTTGGTGGTTTGCCAAGCAGCGAACCGAGGTCATTCTGACCTGAACGGGGCAGCCCAAGACCTGGATTAGGCATGACGTGAACGAGCTGAAGGCGATAGAGATGGATGTCCCCATTTGATAAGATTGTTGGACCTGGTGGCTTGTCTGATTATTGCCTTCCCGCCCCATCCCTCTCCCGTAGGTGCCGTTGTGGTTGGCCATAGCATTGATCGTTGAGAAGAGCCTTATTTTGCTTCGCTCCCCATAAAACCAGGGCCGGCCGTTCCTCTTCTCGTTCCCGCTGCTTTGTGTATCAAGGCTGAATCATCACTCAACTGCTTTGACTCACGTGTCCATTCAAGCAGCACTCTCATCCCGCAGCTCATCCATCCATCCATCATGAAGGCTTCTATCCTCATCGTGGCTGCCCTCAGCCTCGTCTCCGGCCAGAAGAAGGAGGATTACTTCCCCGAGTGCTCCCTCAACTGCCTGAACGACGGCACCAAGAAGGCCACTGACTGCAGTCTGACCGATTCCGTGTGCTGGTGCGTCCAGTCCAACTACGAGGCCATCTACGACGCTGCCGTCTCTTGCGTGATGGCCGCCTGCGGCGCTGGTGTCTCCGTCGGTACGTGATGCATTTCCAATTGAAGCAAATATGTTGAAGCTGTCTGTCTGTGTTCCCGGGCGAAGCTCAATGGGACCACGGACGAGCTCAATTGCTTGATGAACCCGCTAACAATCATTGGCTCGTAGAAAAAGTTCTTCCCGCCGCCATCGACTTCTGCTCTGCCGCCTCCTCGCTGGCCTCTGCCACGGCCACCGCCAGCGGTTCCAGTGCTACCGGCAGCTCTTCTTCTGGCAGCTCTGCGACCGGCAGCTCCGTCCCTTCATCGGCAGCAGCCACTCCCACCGGTAGCAGCGCATCCGGTGGCAGCAGCGCTACATCGACATCTGCCTCCGCTCAGGCCTCGGAGACTGGCGCGGCTGCCGCCATTGGTGGAAGCATCCCCGTCATGGTCGCCGCTGGTCTCGTCGCGCTCCTGTAAATGGGAGAGGGAGAACTGTAGATATTAGACACGTGATGGGAGAAGACGAGGACGAACAACAAGGAAGGACATGGGGCCTGATTGGAGATTGTTGATCACGTATCGGGATAATGTTAATTGATGCTCGAGCCAAAACCTATTGTACATATTACTCGTCCGGGAATTGATTTGTTCCAGTGACTCAATTATCCGCCGTCTGCATGACCGCTTTGCTCCCAATGCTTTGATTCTCGTCGGGCGGCAGCGCAGAGACGATACTCTGACGGTTCACAAGGTCCGCCACGTCCATCCATGAAGCTCAGGCGCACATTGAACCGAGCCCAACGGACAGGCGTCTCGCCTATCGGGATAGTGTCAGTATCGGTGATTGCTTGGCAAAGGTAGCAAGATACGAGGCAGATGTGATCCGATAGAGAGAGGAAGTAGGACGAATTTTTGAAGCTCTCGTAGGTAGGTTGAGAGAAGGTAGAACCTCGTCACATAGGAATGGAAGACTCCAAGATTATGATGTACGGATCGATCATATTGGTATGACGACACCAAGTCCCACAGACTGGGGATGCCTCATTCCATCCAGCCAGGAGAAAATGCCGTACGTACCAATGAAGATGCCGGTGGGCCATAATTATGGCTCTTTCTCTACCATTCTCATTATTTTAATATTAGGCGCGCATTGCCAATGCCGCCCATTGACTACACCGCATCTCAACAGCGTCACATCCCGCGCTATCAGTGGGGAGCTCTGCCCTGGACATGGATTTAATTACTCTGTCAGAGGTATCACAAGACTCTCTTGCAGAAAGCCGGCATCTTAGAGCATAATGGAATGTACCGCTGTGGTACTTCCTGGTAGCAGATCCCCCATGCATGCACCCACTTAGTCAGCGGCGCATCACTTTCAGGGTCCGCGAGGTACCTGGACGGTACTTGCTCCGCTCTCGTTAAACTGCTGCCTGACTTGAGGCATAAGGCAACTAACAGCGATGAGACGCGACATGCAAATCGCAGTAATCCATCTAGAATTGTATGGTTTCAAGTCGCAGACAGCAGCAGCTTTCGGGAACTCATCACAGCGGTCTGCAGTCATGGCAGCTACGGCAAGGCACCCGTTGGTCTCATCATTTATCAAATAATATTGGTTCTATTGCATGTACCTGCTACCTCACTCGGGAGGCTAGGTGGAATTATGGATCCACCAGATCATCCACGTGACGCGTCAAAAAATTGAATCAAGCGGGGACTCCACGCTCCTCCGCCAATCACAGGCCTGTTGTTGCTCCTGCAGACCCTGGATCCAGCCGTACCTGCCATGTACGGTGTACCTCCATGTACCTCGATAGGCGCACCAAGCAAGCCTCAGCTTCAGCTCCTAACTGCAGCGTCGATACCTGACCGCGACCGTGTTTCCCGCCCGCTGGCCAAGTACCTCCATCGTCGCACGCGGGAACAAACACCAGGCGCATCCTTCACAGCCCAAATATCTCTCTCGCTCTGCCTCACTTCAATCCAAGCTCGTTCGCGGCACCCCAACTTCCTCCCTCGCCTCCAGCTTCCGTAATTGCAGGGTCTCGTACTACCCTTTAAACTTTACATCCGCCATCACCGCTCCGACCTTCACCCATTTTGGCGGAGCCGCCTGCCACCTCGAAATCCGTCCGATAAATCTACGCCGCTTCCTTCGTCCGATTTCCGACGCTCGTTTCCCCCGTGCCCATTCCGCGACGAAGCGTCGACCTGCTCCTCTTGGTTTTTGGTTCACGCGCTCCTTTGGGGGTGTTCCAGGAAACAAGAACGGGACGACAAACATTACTCTTCCACCCTGAGCGAGCCCCAAGCAAGCAATGGCCTCGACCACCATTGTCCAACCGTCCTGGAGCTGAGCCCACCATTCCCGCAGTCTACCATCGCCTGTATCCTGCAGTTGCCCGGGCACGACAAGTTTTGTACATGAAAACACATACACACGATAGAGGACCAGTATCCACACGTCTCAGCGCCACACCTCGGCCGTGGGATAGACTTTGCCCTTAGGACCGGCTTTCAGGTCTCGGCATACACCTCCGACTCGCCCCAAACCCAACTTTATCTGGCCAGCAAGACTCGTGGTCTCTTTTGGCGGAATACGAAGGGAACAAAGCATACTCTTTGCGAGACGCCCGGTACACGCCTGGGGGCAATTAGAAGGACGAGGAAGACGATCACGGAGCGATGTCTGAAGACGATATCGACAACCTTGGGGCGGATGGCCCCGTCAACCCCGTACGCATTGACCGCGACCGCCGAGCACCGCGCTTCAGCTGGACCCCATCCTACGAGACGACCTTCTTCCGAAGCCTCTGCGAGAGCGTCCAGCTCGGCCTGCGCGAGAATAGCAGTTTCAAAGCCGAGGCGTGGGAGCGGGCCGCCCAGGCCCTCCAGGCCACGCACGGCGCCTACCCAGCCAAGAGCCATCTCATAAACAAGAGTGACAACGCACGCAAGAGGTTTCGTCTCTGGAGAGGGCTGCGCGAGGATCCTGATTTTTTGTACGACCCAATTATGAGGACGGTGACGGCCACGGAGGACGCGTGGAAGGCACATATTGAGGTACGGCCCAATCTTCTGAGTTTCTGCCAGGTTTCCCTGCCAATTAAGCTTCTCGTTTGTGCTTTCGTTATTTCTTAAAACGACCATCGAATATGGATCCCATTGACTTACACAGTGTTTTATCTTTTTAGAAAGAACCCCTTTCTCGAGCCTTGCGAGGCCGGCCGTTCGATCATGAAGATTTTATGGAGATTTTATATCCAGACGTGATAGGCTCGGGCGGTGCGCCGAAAAGAATAATGAAGCCACGGCGGCGGACAGACGGAGCACCTGCCGACGACGCAGAGATGCCGGGAACGGGCGTATTGAACTTGCAAGGAAACGCAAAGTCCCCTGGGGATGGCACCACGTCGAACGGTGTGCAGCAGCAGAGACCGACACTCAGCCAGACTCCTACAGGATCGTCGAACGGATCGATAGGACAACAGCAGACGCAGGTGCAGGCCCCGACGGCAGCAGTACCGTTACCGACCGTGGTAACGCCAGCCACATCAAGCGCATTGACACCTCCAGACGAGACGTTGACTGGCCAGGTTCAGCTGGGACGGAAGAGGAGACAGCCCGATTCGACCGGATCACCGCCATTGGCCAGTACAGCACCAACCTCAGGAGGATCAGCCGCGGCATCATCCAGCAGTGTAATCCCGGCAGAGAAGCGGCGGCGAACGAGCGCACAAGATCTTCTTACGCCATCCACAGCTGTCACTTCCGTACCGCCCCCTAATGTGGGCGGCCATATACAGCAGACCGCGTCAGGTGCCCAACTACCCTTAATAGAGGAACTCCTAGAGGCTCTCAAGGCACGGTCGGCCCCGCGATGGCGGGAGCAGGCGCTGGACATCTTCTTCCAGGAGTTCTCCGAGGAAGAGCTAGACCTGCAGGTGAAGATTTCTGAGAACGTGCTGAGCATCGAGAATAAAGCCATGGTCTTTTGCAAAATGCCGAGAAACGTTCGGCAACACTGGGTTGGCAAGTTCCGCGAGTTGCACCAGCTGAACAAAACATCATAATGACGAGCGGGGAGGTGTACCAAGAGCATATTTTCACACGCACGACTGTTTGGCGAAGCCTTTATTTCTTACCCTCTGGCTCCCTTTTTTTTCCTTTTTTCGGCGTCTCCCTTTTTTTCAACTGGGCACACATTTTTGTACCACTATATATATTCCATCGCGTTCGGTTTCACCCATCATGACGGGCGGCATAGGGATGCGAGGCTTGAGGGGAACATGTTGCATTTACGGCCTGTGTGCCAGGCGATTTGGGAGTGTTATTTTCAATGAAGGGAAACCCAAGCAAAACGAGAAAGAGGAGAGGGAAGAAAAAAAACCAGATGAGGGGGAGAGAATGAACATTTTTGATACCCATGGACAGGGGAAGGGCGTTTTATCAGGCAAAGTGCTTTCTGGAAACGGGGGGAGTCATCAGGACATATTATGAAAGCACAAAGCTAGGTGTCAGTATGGATTTGATTATTGTTAATTATAATGCATGTTTATAGAAACTGGACTGCAACGGATGGAGCAACCAGGGAAGAAGACATCTTTCGGAGGGTTCCATCCAAAACCAGGACCTTGGTTTTTCACTGTGTGAGATGCATCTTGTGTCATCATGATCTGCCGCCAGGGGTTCTGTCACCGTAGCCGTTGCTACCCCTAATGAATCGAAATGACGCAACTGCTCCCTAGATGATCCCAGATTCAAGCCATCTCAGGAACAGGGTCGATAGCTCGTAAAAAACAATTGCCCTAGAATGTTCCATCTCCATCTGCTGCCCAAACCGCCCTTGGCCTCAATGCATACGCGGGGCTGTCGCCAGCATGGCAAAGAGCAAAGCAAGGGTTCATCTCCAACCGACCATCTACAGAGTCCCATCGCCGCTACGCAATTTCCCGACGCGTACTCACCGATATCTCGTAGGGTGGTTTTTTTTCCCGTGCCTGAGCCCGTTGTTTTTCCCCCTCTGCGCTGGTGCGAGTCGTTGCCTGACTCGGACCCGATTCGATTAACAATTGCTGATCGCGGCAGTGGACAGCAGAGGGGAAGGTCCACCAACTAGGCTCGAGGCCCCACCTAACGGCATGTTTGCACATGACAGCGAAGTGAAGAAATGACTGCGATGCCATGGGATCACTCCATTCGTGCAGGAGGAGGGTGCTACCTAGTGGGCGATTGGGTTGCACACGAGCAAACGCCGGGAGGCACACGCGAGGATGGCTCTGGCAGAGAGGTACCTTAGGTAGCAGATGAGTGAAAAAGCAGAGAAAGACTCGACATAGGGTAGCCTCGGAATGCACCGCGATGGAGAAGGAGAAAAGCCGCTATTGGTGGTTGGGCACAGGTGCAGGTGGGGTTGTGCTACGTCATTGACACCAACTTCGGGAGCGCAAGGCAAGAACGCGAGCAAGAAGAGGGAAAGGGCAGAAGGAGGAGTAGCTCGGCAGGCAGGTACAGCGACATTGTAGCGTGCTCGACTCGTCTGCCCTCACTCCTACAGCCTCCGTGCGAATCAGCCGCTCTTCCGTCATCACACGATCTAGCCCTGTCTGCTATCTGGGCATATATCTGCCACAAGTACCGGTTCTTGCATCCTCAACACGCACATCTACCCTCCATCCCTCCAATTCCAATCCATCCCGCACCCTCTCCTCCAAATTTTCACATCTCACTTCGGCACACTGCCCTATCCATCTACAACCAGTAAGATATTCTCCTAATACCTGCTTTTCCATTGCTCTGCTAATACCATCCAGTGTCTTACGCCGACGTTGCTGCTTCTGGTCCCAAGCAGAGCCCTGAAGAGGTAAGCACCAATAGCATGAAATCCCATTCTCAGTTTCTCCATCTCCCGCGACGTTGTCCATCACATCGCCGCCCTACCTCGCTACGTAATCCATCATAATAGATTGCCCATCTAACCGTTACTGCCAGGCTGCTGCCCCTCAACCCCCCCAGGTCATCACCGACGAGACCGCCTCCACAGCGTCCCTCATCGACGTCGACCTCCCTAGCGTCCACACCGTCCCCGCCGACTTCCTCGAGCAGGAGATCCAGACGGAGACCCAGGCCGCCCGCCTCGAGCGCGAGGCCGCCGCCGCCGCCTCCTCCAAGAAGGCCAAGGCCAAGAAGCAGGTCAAGTCGGCCGACAGCTGGCTCCAGGCCCAGTTCGCCAGGCTCTCCGACAGCGAGGCCGGCGCCCTCGCCGCCGTCAACCTCGCCACCGTCGTCGGCATCAGCGCGCTCCTCGGGTACAAGGCCTGGGGCCTGTACCAGCGCGGCAGCCTGTCGTGGAAGGACATCGGGATCGGCGCCGGCGTCGTCGCGAGCGTGGGTGCCGTCGAGAGCGTCGTCGGGCGGTATCTGTACAAGACCAAGAAGGACGGATCTTCGTAAAGAAAAATCAACTTCTTTTGTCCTTCCCCCGTATCTTCACCTCTCTCTAAGATGGATTGGAGACCGACTGGAGAATTCTAGTTGGCGTGGTCCTTTTCTGTCTCACTTCTCCATTATTCGTTCATGGCGTCCACGGCGATTTAACCGGCGAGAAACATTCGGAGGATACTTTGTCTTTTCCCTGTGTATTGCTTGATACCGATTTGTGTAGTATGATAGTTGCGATAATGTTAAATACTCGCCTATTTTTTTTCATCACTTGATCTTGCAACCAAACCGCGACTTGACGTGCGTGACACGTTAGAAAGAGGGAAAAAAAAAAAGAAAAAAAAAAAAAAGGAGGAACAATCCAGGTCCATAAACCACAGTCATAGAAGAGTTGTGAGTCGTCTATTTCTTTCTATACCTCTCTACGCCATTGTAATTATGCAGTATCATCAGTGTACAAGGTTTTAGTACAGGCCGCTCCCCCCGCCATCCGTCGTATGTAGGGAGCCCGCGTATAATGTACATTTTTAGTTTTTTGAAAAAAATTCTTAAACATCGTCACGAATGTCTTTTCTTCGTGGGTTCCCGATAACTCTTCCGCCATCTATGAAACCAATACTCCTTCAAATATCCTTTTTTGAGTGTTTATTGCTTGTCGCCCTCTGTGTTGGCCCCACGGGCGTCTTCCCATGCCGGCGCGGGAGGCTCGACCACGCGGGGTGAAGGTGCGGGAGGAGCCTCCTCCTTCTTGGTTTCTACCTTTGGTTCCTTCTTGGCCTCTGGCTTGACTTCCTCCTTGGGGGTGGTGGGGGCAGCTTCGGCGGCTGGGGTCTGGGTTGAGGTTGAGGTCTCGATAGGGGTTTCCTTTGTCTCGGCCTGGGCAGTGGGTGCGCCCTCGGTGTTGAGAGGGGCATCTGCGGGAGTGGCGGTGTCGACGTCGTCGTCGTCGCCATCATCGGTCAGCTCTGCGCCGTAGATCTCGGGGTACTGCTTGAAGCAAGTTTGCATGCCCCTGTGGAAAGAAGACAGGTTAGCTAGCTAATCACGAAGGGATGTCGGGGGAAATCGCGTACTGGAACTTGTCAATGCAGTCCATGCCCTTGGGGTCCGTCTCGGAGAAGACGAAGCAGCTGAACGCCGTCTTGAATTCCTCCCCGCAGGGTCCGTGGGCCATGCCGCCCAGGCAGGGGCAGTCCCAGTTGATCTCGCCAGTCTCCGGGTTGAACGCCGCCTGCTGTCCGGCTCCCTCTTCCTCCGCGGGAGCCTCGCCCTCGGCGCCTACTGGTGCGGCATCGGGGCCGGGTTCTTGGCTGGACGCGGGCACGGGAGCTTCCTTCTCGATCTTGGCCTGGATCTGCTTGCGCTTCTCCTCAAGGACGGAATCGACGGTGGGGAGATCGGACTCGGCGAATTGGGGAGGTTCGGGGATCGTCTTGGCTTGAGCTATAATCGCAGCTCCATTAGCGTGGTCCTGAGGACGCGAACGACATGTTCAGTTTCTTGGTGATACGTACTGGCTGTGTCGTCGGCGAAGAGCGAGCTGGTGGTGTAGTAGTAGATGGCACCGCCGGCCAGACCCCATCGGAGGGCTGAGCTCTTCCAACTCCTGGGCTTGTTTGCGGGCGTTGACGTTGAGGCGAATCGCTTGGTGGCTGTCTGTCCCTGCAGGCGCATGCAGCGCAGAGCTGGCCTCGAGGCCGTTCGTAGAGCTGTGCGATACATTGTGTCTTCTTTCTGTTATATTTTTTTGCTTTATTACGTTCTCCGAACAAAAGAGAGGTAATTGGGTGAAGCCAAGTAAGGAAGGACAGGTGAGAGAAGAGAAGGAGGGCAGATCGGTGACGCTTAATCGCAGGTTTCGCGGACGGGACAGAAAAGTTGCCGGGACCTGAGGGTTTTCACGGGCTGGTTGGTAAGCGCCAATACCGACATCATCAGATTGGCAGCTAATCCCAGAGTTTATCCGACTGCGCAAGACGCCAAAAATTCAAAATAGAAGGACTCCCCCAGACAGGATCGAACTGTCGATCTCCCGATTGCGTTAGTGAATAACAGTCGGACGCCTTAGCCAGCTGGGCCATGGGGGATGAGTTCTTGTTGGAAAGATTCCTCTTGATGCCATTTATTAAACAGTGGCTCTACATGCTACTGAGTATCTGGTCTGCCACACCCTCTGGGAGAGCTGAGATCTCTTGTTCTGTGTCTCGATGGCTAGTACATGCAACACCCGACAGAGGATCACGGAGGCAACCGTCGTAGCACACGGACGTGTGGCCAGTCAACTGGAACTCGTCAAGAAGCGGGGTTTGGGTTGGTTGAAAGGGACTCTTTCGAAAACATCTCAATCCTGGAAATAAACTGAATGTACAGCAACAGGGCCGACCGCTTGCATCGGCTGCTACCTCTAAATTACAGACTCTGTACCTACGTGCGGCTACGAGGGGCATCGAGACTTTGGACGGTGCGCCGCAGTTCAGCGCAGATGCTCAGCTCAGGCTGCACTTAGCCTTTCTGTCCACCCATTTTTTCCCTTCTTCTTTTCTTGCCGCTGGACCTTAGCCTCCCCCTCTTCTTCCTTTGTTCTGACGCTCTTTGCCTCTTGCCGATCCCACTGTACTGACGTCAAAATGGCCTCTGATGCGACCCCGACCGCGATAGAGTGGTATCCCGCCAAGCTGCTGCAAAGCCGCGAGACTGCGCCCGCGTTTGCGCTCGTCGTCCTCAACCAGCCCTTGCGCAATGGCGCCAATCTACGAAGACTCTGGAGAAACTGTACGAGAAAAATCCCATACCAGCAGCTAAAAATTTACAGCAATACCCTGGCTCCTGAGAAGCGCAAGACTGACGTGGGGTTGGATACTGCACAGCTTCAATTCGGGTCGCAGCAGACGGAGGTGCGAATCGCCTGAAGGACCTCTCCTCCTTCGAGGGCAAGTTCGTGAGTGATCCCCTCAAAATAGTTTTTTTTTTCTTTACATGTCATACCAGAGAGCTTGTCCTACCTGCGTACCTTATGCGCCATTCAAACATGTAGAAAACATTACAGCTGACCGTTGTCCACCGAATCCCAGTCTAACCTCCAGGTCATCATCGGAGACCTCGATTCCCTCAACCCCGCCGTCCGCGACTTCTACACCTCCCAACCGACGCCCGCCCAAATCATCCACGACTCGTCCCAGTACTCGACCGACTTCGGCAAGGCCATCAAGCACGTGCGCGACAAGTACCCGGCCGGGATCGACATCGTCGCCCTCGGCGGCATCGGCGGCCGCGTCGACCAAGGGCTCAGCCAGTTGCACCACCTGTACCTGTTCCAGCAGGACCGCACCTACAGCGACGGGCGCATCTTCCTGCTCTCGGGATCGAGTCTGACGTTCCTCCTTAAGGCGGGGTCGCATCGGATCCAGGTCCGCGAGGACGGCGAGGAGGCCGTCTTCGGCAAGCACGTCGGCATCATCCCGCTCAAGGAGCCGAGCCGGATCTCGACCAAGGGGCTCGAGTGGGACGTGACGGACTGGGAGACGCACATGGGGGGCAACCTGAGCACGAGCAACCATGTGCTCCCGGACACGCGGTGGGTGGAGGTGGAGACGGACAAAGACGTCTTATTCACGATAGCGTTGCAGCATATTGATGGCGAGAACGACGGGTGGAGGGAGTAGGTGTGCAGCGGGAGCAGGGCGAGCTGGCCCCCGTTGCACGTACATCGGAGAGGGTAAAGGTGAAGGTATTTATCAACCAAGATAGGAAAATAATGAAATAAAAAAAAGGTCAAAAGAAGAATGACGCTTGTGGTATAAAAGTTGTGAGAAAAAGTCATGTCAGTGCTCATGGCCCTCTGTAGGGAGTGTTCTTCCCCCTCGATCTTGATGCCATGCTATAAAATCAAAAGCTCCATGCCGCCGCCGTGGGTGTGTCCTTTTGCTGTTCCTGTTCCATCGTGTCGGTCGTGTTCGCTTCGATCATCGTAGGAAGTGGAGGACGAGCCAGCAGAAGAGGAAGAAGATAATGACACCGCCGAGGAAGATCCATTTGTCCTCCCTCGCTCTCCTCTCGACCATACGGATGGTGTCACCGCTCACACCGAGAGTGTTGGCTACGCTGTATAGTCGCTTTTGCGTTCCCTTGAGTACCTCACGTTGGTGGCCGAGGTCGCTGAGGACGGCCTGTCCACGAGCAATGTAGTCGTCGAGGGCTGAATTGGTGGTGGCAAAGAAGTTCTGCTCGCGGAGAGCGTGGGATTCGCGGGTCACGTCGCCAGAGCCTGTGGAGAGATACTGTTGCTGGCCTGGCGAGCGTGGAGTTTCTGGCTGGTGTGCGTATGGGTTCTCGGGGGTGGAGGAGGCCTGGTAGGGCCGGCGGTTGCCCAGGAGCTCGGATCGGTTGGCCTGATGCTGGGCGTCGTCACGGGTCTTTTTGAGGACATCGATGTCGGAGCGGAAGGACGAGAGGTCTTCACGGAACTTGCGGACGCGCTCGATGGCCTCTTCTTGCTTCTTGGGGACAATCTCCTGGCGGGCCAGCGCGTTGTACTCGTCGATGGACTTAGTGAATGTGGCAAGGGAGGCGGAGACGTTTCCAATTTCGGCAGGAGAGGTCGTCTGCTTGGAGGAAAGGTTCGTGAGCTCGGCGCGGATGGCCTTGCTTTGGCGCAGGGCCGTGTTGTAGGCGACGTTCTAACAGGCGAGGTGGCATCATTAGCATTCTGGCAGATGGGAACAAAGCAAGCCCGGGGAGCGACACCGGGCATTGCATTGGGGGTGACCTGAGTGTAACTGCTTACCATGGTTTCTAGAGGATGGTGGGGGATGCAGGAGCAACAGCGAAACGGGACGGGAGCAGAAATCAATTCTACTTAAAAAGAGTCCTTCACATGTTTCTGCAACGTGGATGTTGACGAACGGGATGCTGGACTTATTGCCCTGCTGCCGCTAAACGTGGCCCACTAATAATGCCTGCAAGTGCCAGACGCGGATCCAGTGCCCCCGCCAGTGCGTTCAGCTACCCTACACCTCTATTATCTATCCCAGCTCTGGGAAGCAAAGTGTTGTTTATTTTATTTGCTCCCAATCTGTGTTTTTTCATGAAAACATATCTTGAATTTAATCATGAATGAACCAAGGGTTCATGTTAATTGGTCTCAGCAGCGGCTAGAGAACAAGAGTGACGTAACAATCAACTCAACGTGTTCTTTCTAATATCCACACCCCGACAGGTGACGACTGTTGCGCAACTTGATCCCAGGCAGCCATTTAAAGTCTTTTATCCGGACACGTTTAACATATTCGCATCACCGTTGGATTCCAATTTAGTTGATTATATGGGGGTTTAGAAGGAGACCTAGGCCTGGCTCTAGCGAAAACAGACCCTTAAACCATTATAAACTACCGCTCTCTGGCCAGATTGTCTGGCTGAAACATTCAACATTGCGGCTTGACTGTGCCGCAATATCATCACTATCATTTCTTCGCACAGGCATGACTATCCCGTGGCTCAGCTCTCCCTTCTAGTCTATGGTAGAGGACGCATTCAAGATGACAGGCAGCGACGGGATAGTTAAGCTCGAGATCGCCACGATTATGAGTCAGAACAACGCTCAGAGGCACATTCTTGTAATAGATCCACTTCATTTTCTTCTAGTGTACCCAGCAGGGATCTCGGGAAGATGGAGGCTCTGGGTAGGAAGAAGATGGGTAACTCAAAAGAACGTCGCTAGCGACATGGAGATATATGAGACAGGTGACCGGCGACGGGGGAAGATTGTCGAGGTATTGAAAATTGGTCTTAATGGTAAGTGATGGACAAGATTAGGCAAGGCAGCGAAACGTAAAGTGCAAAACCCATTGAACTAGGAGAACATTGAGGAAAATATTACTGATGATTCACTTACCTTGAATTATTAGATCAGGGTAAGGGAATAGGTCATCTAATAATACTATCGAATTTATGTATTCCTACTCGTGGGTTATCTTCAACATATGTGCCACGTTCGGAGTTCTTCAAAGAAAAAGGGAGCAAACAGATGGAATAAGCTCGTACATAGTTATTCAATGCCCTCTAGCGTCCATAGACTTCTTATGAACACATGCGTTAAGTTTGGAGCTTCCCCTCTCAGCATGCAGAGCAGACCGTACACAGTACAGCCCACACAGCAGAAGCAGGAGGCATCTCCCGTTTCGACATCGGCATGGCGATGTTGCCAGGGCGAATTCACTAGCGTTCATTTCTGTTACCCCCAGATCATTTTCGTTTCTCAAACTGCGAAGAAGGAATGTGGGAACATGCAGCCGGCTCGTCGGATACTGAGTATGGATTACAGAGAGCAGAGAGAATGGGATTCGCTCGGAGACGCCCTAAACAATAACGTTGTGTCTCTTTGCAGAGTTTCACTGTATCCATGAAACTGCCGCTTCATTTCCCCTCGAGCCTCTTCGTCCATGGAAAATGAACATACCCATACGTGAACACTTTATTAAACGGACTAGACAGTTCTCTTAGCTGTATGGTTCACGTGTATGTGTTTGTATTATATTATATTGGGCCACCGCCTTCACCATGTGCATGACACCCAGGCCTTTCTCATTTAATGGCTGACCACATTATAAACTGGAAGATAGATGGAAGTTTAGGGTATCAAAGGAGTAAATATGGCTCGAAGGCTCGAACTGGGCTCAAGTCGAATTGCGGCATCATGAAGAGCGGTTGTATGGTTGATGACATCAGACATCAATGAGTCTTCGATTGAACAACGTAAAGTAGCGCGTATTTAATTAACGGAGAGAATAGGGCTAAAAATAATGGAACCAAATAGTTTAGATTGAAATCTGGTCGAGTTGTTGAGAAAAAGATGGGACTTTAGATCGAGTGCCGATTCGGCACCGGATCGGCACCGGCAAAGGCAGCTTAACCATCGATCAATACATCGCAAAGCCCTATCGACGCTGATTTAGGTGAAATGACCCCTACAAGTCCAGTGCGATTCTGATTTCGTGGGCTCCGGAAATGGCACGCGAGGGAATTCTGCGGGGCTGCAACTTGACATAAACTCCGTTCCCGCTCCCGTTCCCTGAAGCTGAAGTGACGCGAATCAGATGCATGTCATATATCTAGAAGGACTTCTCAGGCATTTTCCATAGAGCTCCAGCGAAGCAACTCACCTTGATTTGATCGAAGAGAATCCCACCTACAAAGGAAGAAAGCAGCGTCGCCTTGGTTCAATATGACAGATCCGGCTGCACCTGACAAGCAACCAGTCTTGGCAGTCGAGGCCAAGGGGGAGGATGGTGGGAAAAGCTCAGATGACGTGGAGACAGCCGTCTCTCAGCCAGAAGAAGACGTACAGCCTAGGTTTTCTGTATTTACGTTATGGCAGAAACGAGCGATTGTGTTCTGCGCGGCTCTGACAGCCTTCTTCTCCCCAATGACGGCTCAGATATACCTTCCTGCTTTGACTTCGATCGCCGAGGATCTACAAGTATCAAGCGCCAAGGTGAACTTGACAATCACGACGTACATGATCTTCCAGGGAGTTATCCCCATGTTTGTCGGTTCACTTGCTGATGGATGGGGTCGCCGGCCAGCCTACATCATCTGCTTCGTCATCTACATTGCCGCCAACATCGGTTTAGCCCTTGCCCCCAGCTACGGCGCTGTCCTTGGCCTGCGCTGCCTCCAATCTGCTGGGTCCAGCCCAACAGTAGCTCTATGCTCTGCCGTAGTGGCTGACGTTGCCACATCCGCCGAGCGAGGCTCCTACATAGCTTTCACCGTCCTCCCGATCGTCCTTGCCCCTTCGCTGGGGCCTATTATTGGAGGTCTGCTCACGCAATATCTGGGATGGCGCTCCATTTTCTGGTTCTGCACAATACTTGCAGGAGTAACGCTTCTCCTGCTGGTGGCCTTCTTCCCCGAAACCTGCCGCACAATTGTTGGAGATGGATCGATACCAGCTCCTGTGACTCACAAGACACTATTGCAGCTTTTCAAAAAGTCGATGAGGAAGAGAACGGAGAAGAACGACGAAACCGAACCAGGGCCACTGCCAAAGGGACCGAAGAAACCAAAGCTGAAATTGGAGATGCCGAACTTCCTGGGCTCGCTCATGATGCTGACAGAGAAAGAGACTTGTCTATTGGTTGTATCAAGCGGCATTTGTTTGGGTGGCTTCTACGGTATCTCTGCCGCCCTCCCGACACAGCTCACGAATGATTATGGCTTAGATCAGACTAAAGTTGGCCTCATGTTCCTCCCAATCGCAGTCTCATCCATAATCACGGGAGCTATCGCTGGAAGGTTGATGCAATGGAGATATCGTTATTACTGCGATAAAACGGGTGTCCCCTTCGACCGCACTAGGCAAATCGATCTTTCAAACTTTCCGATTGAGCGTGCCAGACTCGACATCGGAACCCCTCTCCTCGTTGTAGCGGGTTTGGGCGTCATCAGCTGGGGTTGGGCAATACAGGCACGAGCTCACCTAGCTGTGCTCTGCTTCCTTATGGTCGTCATGGGTCTTGGGATGGTGGGCTACAACAACACGTCCAACGCGCTGCTCGTGGACGTGCAGCCAGGACGGCCGGGTACGGTGACGGCGGCCGGCAACTTTGTGAGGTGCCTACTTGGAGCTGGATTCAGTGCTGCTGTTATACCCATGATTGACGCAATAGGAGCTGGATGGACCTTTACTATCTTTGGAGTATTGTATCTTGTCTTTGCACCTTTTCTTTTCCTTGTAAGAGCTAGGGGAATTAAATGGAGGGCAGAGCTCAGGATGAAGATTGAGAAGAAAAAGGAGGCAGAAGAAGAATCATCTCCTTCTTCGTGAGGGAGAAAAGGAGAAAACAACATACAGGAAGAATATAGATCGATGCTAGATAGCTAATGAAGAATGAGAATAAAATAGAAATGAGATTTTATGCTATATGAAAGAGTAAGCGTAATACTGAATATGTTCCACCATGTGTGATTAAGCTCCGGAACTGTTATGAATTCATCGCAGCCATAGAGGTTTTGAACCTCCATGGCCACCCCGAATGGCAACCGCAGCACAGCCAGCCAGGCTATCAAAGTAAAAATATCTTCCCGTGATACCTGGCCCGTAATGAGAATACTTTCCTGAATTCGTCATAATAGAATTAGATGTGGCCCTGGAGACGATGGGCTCATCAATCATGCACCAACATGTATCGTTGAGGAAGCGAACGCCAAATCCCTCGAGCTCGGTGACTAGACCTGCCTGGCTTGCCAAGGAATGGGTTGAACGACCACAAGTTATCACCACAGACACATCCTTATTCTTCACTTGACCACGGCATAGTTTGGCAAACTTTCTCACCTCAGCGAACGAGAAGTGTGGGTTACCAAGGGATACCAGATCAACGGGCTGAGGATTCTTCATAGCGCTGTTCAACTTATCCCAGCAACTGACCAAATCATCGAGATCGACTTGGAAATGAGGAATATCTTGGCCTTCGACTATGACTGCATCTAGATCTGGTGCCTCAGGAGTAACGCCGACCATATGAAACATTGGAGCGCTAGATGTAGTCGCAAAGCTGGCGCCGAATGCCTTGAGGTCATCATTTGATGGCTTCAGTGAGTCAATGCCAACAACGGCTGGGATACGGCTACCAGACAATATGCCTACTTGGTACCCTAGCAACGGGTAGAAAGCATCATCAACCGAAATCAAAGAGAACCCTAGCTTCACAATCAAAGAAGCCTTCCTGTTCTCCTCAACATGCGGACCGCCCTTGGGAGCTCGGCCAGTGAGCGCAATGGAAATATCGAGAAAATCGGGATACTTCATGGTCCGGGCTCCGAGAACACTATTGGCATACACAACAGCGTTTGACTCTGCCCAAGCAACTTGCTCACCGAGCTTTGGCGCGCTATCAAGCAAATAAGGCGCACAAGTGAACGTGGGCCGGGCGCCCATGTCTGTGTATGCCTTGCCCAGCTTTTCAGCGGCCTCGCCAGGTGTCGGATTAACCCCCAATTTGCGCCATCGTTTTTGGTCAACGGAAATGGAGTTGAGAGTTGTGGGTACACGGACTTTGCCTCCGAGATCACGGAGTCTCTCTGCGAATGCTAACGAGCCCGGGCCTGTGTAGACACATCCGTCTACATGCACTTGAGTAACATCCATTAACTCCTGTGCTCCTAACAACTCGGCCATCCGCAGAATAATACGCATCGAAACTTTCGATGCCTCTCCATAGGCACCCTGGAGAATGCTGTGATCGAGGCTTGAGAGCTGTACCCCGCAGCGTAGATCATCGTCTCGAGACTCTACGCTCAGAGGTTCTGGAAGTTCCTTGTCGGATATAGTACCATCTTGCACGTAAACCAAACGACCGTTTTGTTTGAGGATTTCCTTGAATTTTGTTGGGCCGAGAGTTATCACTGGTAAGTTTTTGCCGAATATCTCCTCTGCGATCATCACGCCCAATGTAAGAATATCTTCACGCCTTTCGAAAAGGATTGCGCTAGGGCCCATTCCATTGAGAATAAGCTCCAACATGGCCGTACTTCCAGAGCAGGAGCCACGACCAGCAGGAATGGCTAAGATGGCCCCGCGAAGGCGCTTTCTACTCAAGTCATGGTGCCGATCGATGATTTCGCCCGTGAGGGTATTGACACCCCCCCAGAAACTCAGCTCGAGATTACTAGCCACCAGTATCCCTGAAGCTCTACCTTTGACATAGGCATGTCCGGTTAGAAGGAATTCATCACTAGTGTTCGCCATGGTTGCTTGATATTTCAGGGGCTAGCAATTTCTTTTTGGAGTGAAAATAATATGTAACTGGTGACAGGCTGACCGCATAAAATAGCGCCAGGCGCGTCAAGTAGGCCAACCCATATATACTTATTCAACCGGTCCGAGATGCACGGATGGCTTCCCGAGCAAGAAGAGGGGATAGATAAAGGGTGGTTGAGCTGCTCCGGAGTCGGGCTTGGTTCGTCTATGGAGAGTCACGTGCATCCCACATAGCGAAATCCACAATATTTTGACCAGGATTTTGCACGTTTTCATATGATCATCCGATAGTGGAGAACCACACTATCACCATGTATGGCTGGCCGGCTCAGGTGAAGCTATTCTGGTGTATCTTGGGGTAATTCTTCTCTTCCTCTTGGTTCACCTCAACTCTCATTCGCTCAGCCTGAACTTGGCAAACCAGAATCGCCAAGTTCAGCATGGAGGAGTTAGCCCTGGTCAGCAACCTTCTCTCGTGGCTCTGGTTCCTCGTCAAATCATTTTTCATTTACCCTCTCGTATCGACTCTGATACTGGTCCTTACGGTTGCCGCCTACCGTCTTTTCTTCCACCCGTTTTCTTCAATCCCGGGACCCAGGCTCGCTGCAATCTCAAGCGTGTGGTATGCAGTACAAATACGGAATGGGCAGGCCGTCTCACTTGGAAAATCTCTGCATAAAAAGTACGGACCTGTCGTACGCGTAGGCCCTAACGAGCTCTGGTTTAATACCAAAACTGCCTTTAAAGCCATCTACAGTACGTCAGACTATCGTAACCTTCAGGCTGGACCACCTAACACTCATTTTCCTAGGCAATGGAAGCGGATTCGAGAAGTCTGATTTTTACTGTAAGAATTAAATCCACCCTCCTATAAGTGAGGCGGTTTCTGATAAAAGTTTCTGGCGAATAGTGGGCACGACTCTTTCAAAGCCAGTGGTTGATTGGAAACTACAAGTACACTCAGTCGACAGTTTAGATCTATTGTCTGAACGAGATATGAAGCGGTACCGAATGCAGAGGCGACTCATTGGCCCAGTTTACCGCCCTGCAAATGTAGCAAGGCATGAGGCTTCTATTGACAGAGCTTTAGGCCAAGTCTTGTCGCGCTTTCGAGAGATGAATGGCCGCGAATTCGACCTCAAGGAATGGGTACACATCACTGTTGTCGAATGCCTCGGAGCAAGTGTTCTGTCCTGGTCTCCTGGCATGTTGAAGAAGAACACCGATTGGGCCACGAGCACCCACAGCTATCAAGGCTGGAGGAGAAAGGCGGTTTTTGGAATATTCCCCCTGGCCGCTAAACTACAACTCCGCTATAGGTCATTTGGGAGGATTTTCGGCAACGCCTGGAACTTGACTTTCCAGCCTCCACCCAACTTCCGGGCATTCTTCCCGGTGCGTCCGTTCGAGAAATCTGCTACGTTGATATGAAATTCTAACACATATTTGGCTTGCAGGATGTGAATAAGCGAGTGTCCAAGCGGATAAAGGCGTTCCACCGGGGCGAAAAGGGATGCCAGGATCTGGCGGAGGATTTGATTCAGCTTCACCGCGACAAGCCTGAGTTCTCGGACTCATATCTGCGCAAGATGATCATCACGAATTTCGGTGCTGGGCATGAGACCATGGCATCGACCGTCATTTCTCTCATCACGATGTTTGGCTTGTTCCCTGATGTTTATACTCGCCTGGCAATCGAGCTGAGACAACACTTTGGTGATGGCACTGCCTCATGGGCAAGTGCATCCAGTTTACCATATTTGCAGGCTGTGATAAAAGAGTCTCAGCGGTTGAACCCAGTCGTCTCAATGTCCCCTCCACGTAAAGTGCCATCGCCTGGTATATGCCTGGACGGCTATTACATTCCGGCAGGTGCAACTCTTGGGTGTAACCCGATCGCGCTTCACCGTAATGAAGACATTTGTGGGCCAAATCCCGACTTATTCGACCCTGAGCGATGGCTGAGGGGTGATGGGCGTGCCAAAGAAATGGAAATGCACAGCCTTAGTTGGGGCGGGGGTGCTAGGACTTGTCCAGGCCGCCACTTGGCAGAAATGATGGTGTGGAAGATAGTTGCAGGAATAGTGATGACTTTCGAGATCGAGGTCATAGTTCCCCCGGAAAGAGAGATGCCAGCATACTTCTTGTCAATGATGACGGGGGTTAAGGCACGGCTTCACCCTGTCGACCAGGGGAAGTTTGATTAAAATCGGTGTATGATTCAATTGTATCGGCTCATATGCTCATAGAGTGCTCCTTTTGCGCCCCCCACGTGTATAGGACTTTCCTCCGAATCCTAAAACCCCTTTATCTAGTCATATGGTTGTAGATGATTGGTCGACTTTCTGCCCTGTAGTAGTGATACTTGCCATTCTGCGTACGCGTACATGAATGCCCACAGAGAAGAAAACCCAAGACCACTCGCCCTCAGTCTCTTTGCCAAAATGCAAGCCAGTGCCAAGGTGGCTGAAACGAATGCACGCGACCATGTGATCAAAACAACGGCACGCTAATGCACGATTATTGCAGCAGCTGAGGGGAGACTCGTAAGCGACCTAGTCCAACCAATAGGAATATTAGGATCCATACACTTCGCACATGAGTCTACTCGCTTTCTTGTAAGACGTAGTGTTAGCTTCTGGTGGCTTGCTAAGATGAGGAGGTTGGTTCAGCCGCAAATATGAGCTGTCGTTGGTCTGATCCCACGGCTTTTAACAGCATGGCCTGCATGAATCACACTCCTATTACACTCGCCATAATAGATATATGTGGGGGGTCGACAACGAACGATCCTAGCCACATTACATGCATATTATCCATAATATTAAGCCCAGTCCCATCTCCATCGTTCTATCCATTGGGGGCTGACTTCTCTCCACCTCAAGTGAGAAAAATCTGCAAACACTCGACTTGCGTAGATTACCATAATGAGAAACTATTCCTTCCGAGCGCCAGAATGGAGTTGTATAATCCTCACATTGGGATTGCTTGTATTAACCCCCGTAGCCCAACAGGCTTCATCCACGACGCAGCCTCCTAACGAATATGCTCCCAACTTCATAGGCTATGTCTCTAGCACGGGGAGTTGTAAGTCAAAAGAACCCAAATTCTCAGATTAGAGTTAACTAGATGAATCTTCCTAGATGTTCGAATAACGTGTATGCCAGAACTCATATACTCGTCATCTGGTAGCTACGCCGCTTGCCTGAACATGAGTCACACGCGCACAGCCATTGCGACAACTTGTGTGAGCGGTTCCATGCCGGTGTATCCGCGTAGCACTGTCACCTGGTACGTCTAGTAATGAAGTAGGAGATCGTAGACACAGTGAAGAACCATGGCTAACTCTGCCTGTTGTGTGACTCCAGCCCTGAGACAGCTCCTCTTTGCGCGTGGGATTACGTGAATTCGGACTTGAAAGACGAGGTTCCTCTTACAATGGTCGGTTGTGGGACTACCAGCGATCCCTGGGACTACTACCGGGAGACGACCAGTAGTACATCATTGAAATCGACAAGTGGCCGGGACGATCACAGCACCCTGGAAACAGTCACAACGTCAACTTCTAGGGAAACAAGTCTCTCCTCTGACACGCCTTCGCAAGACAGCCCGTCAACACAGCCAAATCTCGCCTGGATCGCCGGTCCTATTGTGGGTGGGATTGCTGGAATCGCAATCATTGTATTGTTGACATGGATTGTCATACTTCTTCGGCGAAGGACAGTCAGGTGAGGACTTGGCTTCTCCCTGGTGAAAGATAGAACAATGGGTTTTAGGGGGCGTGGAACTATGGAGTCCCTACAATAATGAATTCGACAAGACTGAAAAGTGGTCAATGAGGGCCGGCTTGATTCAGGAGTGGAAGTCACTGGAGGATTCAAGGCATATGATCTACACCCCTTTTCTTCTTCTCCTAGTGTACAAAGGATTATTGGCGTGGCAGACCAGATACTTGCTGGGCCTACTTACCCGCCGAGATCTACATTATCGGAATTGGATCACAGTAGATAGTTTGAATCATCTATCCCGGTTGGAGTGAGTTGCTGGGTTCATTTTAGCCAAGCAAACTCAATATTGAGGCAGTGTTTGACCGAGCTGTCGCTCGACCGACTCAATCAACAACAACACAGCAATATCTCGTTCAAGGAGCAAGATTCGCAAAACAATGGTGTTTTTAGTGATCTTTTAGGCAGTAAGGTGTATTTGCTAGCTATACACCAGATTGGGGCCAAATCTTTAATCTCAATAGTCAGCATTAATAGTAAGAAATGCAAGTTATGTCGATGATGATGGAGCATTGGTTTCAACGTAAAAACGGTGATATATTTAGTGTAGATGATAATTATTCCTAAGACTTTATATAGTTGTAATAGGCAATTCATTTCATAAGCAATGTTATATTATTTTTCATCATGTTCCAATATCAAGGCTTCCTTCAACTATAACTCCAAGCGAGCACTCGCGGCCAAGCTATCTTCCACCTATTCCAAGCGCGAAGCAGCGTCTCCTACCTAAACTCGGGATATTGCTTAGACATGAGCCTTTCTTCTGCACTCGGATACGTCGTTTGAACATCCGTCATTTGAACATGTGTCGTTTGAACATCCGTCTTCGGCCACTGACCACCGTGGCTGTCCTCCGTCACAGGCACGCCTGCCCTAATATCCCATTTCTGAGGACCATCCTGCACCGAAAGAGCATGCTTAAGAACGTGAAGCTTCTCATCTGACACGCGGGCAAGATGCCCCTTGGAACCAGGCACGAAGCGGCCGAAGAAGTCCATGATTTCAGTGATGTAGATGCTGACGATGGCGAGGAAGACTGTAATGATGACGATTACGAGCGTGCCCGCCAGACTGAAGCTCTCGATATCGGCCGTACCCATGATAAGCTGGCTGTTGCACTGATCCTGAAGCTTCTTGAGGATCTCGTCGCTAACTTCATACTCGTTCTTGGTGTTGGGGTCGTTGGGCTTGAGTACCGGCAGGCCAACTGCGTCGTCTGGCTTGCTGACATATTCGGCTACGCTGGCCTGGAACTTGGCCAGTTTTGTCTGAAACCATGTCGTAGCCTCGATGTGCCACTGGTTATCTGGCAATCCCGTCGACTCGTGGTTGCGGTAGACATGGTCGCTGGCAAAAAGCGCTGAGAAAGGGGTTAGCATCGGATAGGGCGGTGTGAGATGCATGAAACCTACAGGCAGAGCCTAAGTTGCTGACGATCGTATTGATATTCGTCTGCTGCATATGGATGGCCATTCGTGCTGCGGTGGCAAGTTGCGCATCGTTGAAGCCCATATCATTGTTGGTATCGTTGAACACGGTAGTGTAGAAGTCCTCATAACGAGCCCAAGGGGAACATTTTTCCTTGTCGGGGTTGCATATCATGTATGAGTCAACGCAAACCATAGGAACCATCGAGTAGTTTGGCTTATAAGGGTACTTGCTTGAGGCACTCGGGTCCCTGATATTAGCCAGGAAGAACGGGTCGTTCACCGGGGCACTGTATCTCATCCAGTTCTGGGAGTTCAGGAGGAGGGTGAGATCGCCATCCTCAACTGCAAATTCGTCGTAACGATTCCACAGTACCGAGTCGTTGCTATAAAAGGAGCTGTCCGTGAAGTCTCTGAAAATTTAACATTAGCATCGGAACAAGTCCGAGATTTGGGGGCCAAGAGCAGACGGCCTTGTACTCACACTATTTGATACCCGATAGAAAAGTTAGTTAGGGCAAGGTTATATCGATAGGTGTAGCCCCAGTTTCCCGTCCCTGACTGGCCCATCCAAATGTAAACCTGATTATTACTAGCGTTCCAATAGCCGTTCAGGTTGACCATGGTGCAAGTCGTCTTCGCTCGTGTCGAAATTCGGTCGTGCTCTTTGGCGTTGATTCCGAACTCGGAGTGAGAATTGAGCTCGCCAGACTCAAAGCTGATAGTTGCTCCTGTGAGACAGAGGGTCTGGTTCTGAAATGGGCAAGAAGCATTGAAGTTGGCACTGTATGGCAGAGCATCTGTGATGAATGTTGACCTGACACTCTTGGACCTGGTGGTGCTATCCACGTCGTAGAAATTAATAGCATAGTTTCGTCCATCGATGGTGTCGTTGACAATCTTATTCTTGCGTATCATATCTTGTTCGATGTCGGGGTAGGTGCCGGAGAGGGGGAGGATTCCGCAGCCCTGATCTCGTGCGAGGGCGATGCCACCGCCATCTTTGTTGATGGCGACCTTGGAGGCGAAAATGGATGCTACCAGAATGCCGCCGTAGAGCAACAGAGTAGGGATAAGAACCCAGAGTGTGCGGAGTGCGACATTGGGGACCTTCTTCTTCCTCCAGGCGCGCCAGAGTTTGAAGAATTCGGCGACGGTGGCGAGCGGGGTCTTTGCGTTTCGGAGAAGGATCTGTTGTTGAACGTCGAATACGTCGTTATTCTGGCGGGCTCGTACAATCCAGCTGTGGATGATGATAGAGACGATGGTCCAGGCGCTGGCACCCGCAACTGTCACCATGACAGTCAAAAATGAGAGGAAGACATTACCATTGTTCTTGCTCATGGTAAATCTCCCCCGATCACCAGCCGGCTGGGAATAGTCCTGCCATGAGCCGATGTGGAATTGATCCATGGTGGCTTTGTACTTCTCTAGCTCTACTTTGACCTGAAATGCGCAGCACACAAGGGCGAGCGAGTTGCGAATGGCACAAGCAGCGAGGATGGGCAGGATTAATAAATCAGCAAACTGATCCACAGGCTAGGGCAGGCGGTTATGCATCCTCAGCCGATTCTAGCTTAAATAGAAAGCCTGCTGCAAGTCCCTCAGAGCGGGCTGCAATCTGCCTTACGGGTCATAGTTGCAAGGTATTGTAAGCAACATCCAGGCTACCCCCATGTTAGTTTCAATGCTGGTTGCCTCGCGAAGAGTTATTCCTCTGCACAACCCTTGGCGAAACCCATGGAGAAGACTTCTTGCCTTATCCAGACCAAGCCATCAGCCTTTCCCCCTTTCTAGAATCCAGATGCTCTTTTTACTGGTTTCTTAGGCTTTGACTTTGTTGGTTTCTTGGGTTTTGAAACCAAAGGTGCAGCGAGTGTTCAGGGTTGGGAGAAGACTAGTTGGATTGGTCGGATTTAACAGGCGTGGTCCACATAGCTCCAGTTTGACGCATATCTTTAATCGATTTGGGGATTAGTGCTGATCTTCGACGGTGCCGGCATTGGGTTAAATGGCTCCAAAATCCTCCGGATATTTGAGAGTGCCGAGGATCCTGGTTCCTCCTATTTCCGCCCTGCTCTGTGCTGACGCCTGAGTTGCCATTGTAAACGGAGCACAATGTTTCATGAATATGTAAGCAAATACACGTGTAGCCCCTCCACTAGTCCGTGCTCGCAAGCTTCCCCATCAGAATGGGTCCTTGTCTATGTATATATGTATGCATATTCCTGCCCTAGGAGATTCCACTTATTTCACCTCGGGCTGAAGATTCAAGCCCATCTTCCCATCCCTCCTTTGATATGATGAAAAGTAACCTTGAAACCGCTGAATATCTACACAATACAGTGCCTCGTGTCAAGCAGTATTGCTTCAATATCCCGCACTACGAGATGTCCGGGTCCTCCCTGTCGGCTGCTTACACAGTATGGAGCAGGTTCTGCACTCACTATGCAAGCTGACGGTGCCGCGCAACCGTGTTGTCTGGTGGCGACGGATATTTCCAATGCCCAGGACTATTGATTGCAGCCCGGCGCTTATTGGCGTCAAGTCAGTGCCGATATCAAACAGTAGTATGTAGGCCATCCTCAGAGCCAGACTAGGTCAAGTTGGGATTCCAATTTAGGATGAGGATTCAAGATGCGATAAATATCCAAGGAGATGGCGTGACTCTCATTTGAAGCAGCAATAGATACGTACTTGGCAGGATCAGGAGAGTGGTTATTGGGCCAAAAAAGATTTGCAATACCCGCCCCAACGGCGGATATTTCCCTCCACATCACCTATGACCCAGGCCAAAGCCCCTCCAGCAACCAGCTGACCCTTCAGCTGGCCACCTGTCACGCCTACAGCGAATCCCACATCGCTGTAGGGGCCCGGCACCCGTGGCCCAGATAGCACAGTGATGCAAACCCCCAAGGGTCAGTTAGCCAGCTGGTTCAGAGGCCCTCTGGCATAACCACTGGCCCTGACACGGCCTGCAGCCAGCAGCATAACCCCTGTATGCTCTGGCCCAGGTAACTGGAGCCCTTGTGAGCCCCCAAGCCTTGGAGCCGACCCAGGACTCGAACCATGGACGTCGCGCTCACGCTTGAAGTGACCCAATGGTTTGCGGTTCTCGCTGTCGTAGCCACCGAGAAGGGATTTCGCTGGCTTCAGACGCTTTGCCTGTTAGGCCAAAAAGATCTGCAGCACCACAAACCATTAGGAGATCATATCCTCGCATTGCTTATATTGGTGTCATGCCGAGGAATTTAGTCCATCAACATCGCTCAAACCCAGAGCAACACCACATCCTCGTTCTCAAAATACCTAAGACGAGGGTTCAAATGGTATCCCATATTTTGGGTATCTCCCCTTCCAGGCACCTCTATACTTCGATCCATGCATACGTACCAACCGCTGCCAGTAATCGTACAGCGTAGTCCAACACTGCCTACACTCTTGTCTTTTACCTCGATCCAGGCAAAGGAGAGAACGACCCCGTTTGTGGCCGGTTGGATGTCATAAATGTCGAGTCAGTACCTCCTTTCAAGGCCTTGCCCTATACATAGGGTGCACCTGGGCCCAACAAATTACATCTGGATTGACGGAAATCCTGGGTATCAACAACGGATGCAGGACATCATAGTCTTTCAAAACGCATTCAGACTTACTCTTACAATCAAAGAGCCTTGCTGAACGGGCATATAGAATTTAGCCAACAGTCATGTAGCCTGGTGATAAAGTACTGGTGCTGTATAGGGGGAGAATTCCATATGTGCTTCGTCGCCGTCCAGACCATCGCGTCTGAATTGGAGATTGCTATGTGGCAGACGATGACACCATGCATGTAACTGTCACAGATAATGCACGGCATCAAAAGGGGGCCCTTGCAGCGATGCTGTATGAGCTCCGATAAGGCTGTCTTTCTAGGAGGCTGCGCTCGCGAGGGCACGCGCTGTCGTTGATCGCAATCCGATTTTCGGCCGGTATAAGAGATAGATTTCCAGCAAGGAATTCGAATTAAATTCGGATTTCTCTACATTGATATCAATATACGACTGCTAGTCATGACTATTAGTTGACTCTCTTTCTCTCTTGCTGCCTCACCTCCTCTCCCTTCCTCATCGACTTTCTGACCTTTTTCTTCGCTTTCTTCTCCTGCTTCTTCGCCTCTTTGTTTTCTTCTTTGTTGCTCTCCAACCTTCTCTCAGCCCTCTCTTGGACAAGCTGTTGATGCTGAGATGACTCTGCCTCGCTCTCCACCACCCTCTGCTTCCACTTCCTTGCCTCCAGGCTCTTGTTCACAACTTGCTGAGCGTGGGACAACCCGTTTATCTCCTTTTGCTGCTGGTCCAGCGCGATCTTCTTCTGTGCCTTCTCAAGCTTGCTCACTTTGCTGACGGGCAACCCATAGAATCTGATAGTGGTCATCTTGCCTGTCGGCAGCCTGATCCTCCGCGTCGAGTCATGCTCGTGCATATCAGGCGGGAGGTACAGGCTCTGTATCCCACGGCGCAGCTCCCAAGTAGACAACTTCATGATGCGGAGCCGGACATGCGTGTCAACGTGGACGCGAAAGTTGAGATGCAGGTCGCTGTAGAGCTTCTGAATCATGCTGCGGTTCCAGAATAGTTGGTCATCGTCTTCGCTCGTCCGGACCAACTCCAGGTACTCGTCATCTTCTATATTCCATTCTGGTCGTAGCGGTACTGAGCGGGAGGAGTGCAAGAATGTGAGGCGGCACATTTGGGGATTTTGACATATCAACCAAAGGGTCGCATCGCTGTATCCGACAAGATAGCTCAGGTCCAGTGCCTCCAGGTACGGCATATTCCGTGCCAGGTCGTTCAGGTGCTGCGCGAAGTCTACGCCCTGGGGTTTGATGCAGTTGGCAGGGAGTTCAAGCCGGCGAAGCCCCGCGCATTTCTTGATCGCGCTCCACAGCGCAGCGTTCTTGTTGCTGTTCGAAGAGGCATTGAGGGCCATGATATCGGCGCACTCGGGCTCCAAGAAGCTGATTTCCCTGATGAGCTCGCGGTAGCACGGCCGGAGCGCATTCAGGTTCGCGACCAGCTTGCCGACGTCACGGAAGCAGAAGGTGTTCTTTGACCAGAAGATGGGAGCCGAGATCTGGCGGATGAGTTTGCACGTCCGCATGAGGCCCAAGTTCTTGCGCTTGGAACATCTGCATGCTACGCGGGCCTTGAAGCCCGAATGATCGTTGGTGAAGTGCGGGAGGGCGGAGAGGATTTCGTTGTGGATGAAAGGGGGGGTCTCAAACTGGCCTGGGGCGGTGACCTTGTTCCTGCAATCGATGTCGTGCTTTCTGTCCCATAGCGAGGCCCTCTCGACGAGGAGGCATTCGTAGATGATGGCCTGGATCTCTTCAGGGAGATGCAGGAGACCCAGTTTCTTTGGGCGGACCAGGCTGTGTTGGCTCCGGATGGTCAGTGTTGTGGGCATCATGATTTTGGATGTCTGTGATGCGAACTGGAGGATCTTCCTCTCGTTGATGAGAAGGGCCAGAGTTTTATTTTATTTTCCTCGGATCTGGCTTACTATGTCCACGATTAATTATTGACATGGTTGGTTCGCATTGCTTGAGGGGCATTTTTCAGCTCACCAGACTCAGCCATTGTCCAGCCACGAAGGCGGCAGGGGTACACCATGTCACTGGAGAGCTGAATTACCTTGCCTAACAGCATTGAACTATCGCGATTAGAGCCGCTAGATGAGCCAAAGTGAATCATATATAGCTTTTGGTGACTCATCATCGAGAAGCGTGGATAAGGCAGACTTTCCCACGACGTCGCGACAGTAAATTTCCAGAGATTCCATTCGATGTTTTGCTCGCCATTCGTTGATAAGCTTTTTCAGAGGGCTGAAGTGCTGTATCGTCATTGTAAGATTAACGTGTGGACGAAACTCCAGCAATATGCACATCATTCTCCGCTGATGGCAGGATCCAAAGGGAAGATGAGAACAAATACGCTTCGACCCTGCATGCGAGAGCTCGTTTTTTTTTATATATTTCCAACAGCTAAATAAAATCAAGGAACTATACGAAAAGCGCACCGGCTCAGAGCTGGTCCACCCAGTCGGGCTACCCTATAGTAGGTAACCAAGATCATCTCAGCACATGAGCGAATGCTCGCCAATAATGAAATGCTTCTTGTATCTCAATGAAACTTTTGGTCGCAATCTTAAAATATGGAGTTTGGAAATCAACTGGTGTAAAAAGTATGGATATGGTGAAGGTTGAACAGAGAATATCCTCAGCCGACACTTCACCGCTTTGCTATATTTCAGATTAAAGTAAATGCTACCTTCCAACTCAACCAAGAGGGAATCCAACTTCTTCCCAAAAGTAACCTTCATATGGTTTGCCAAATAAGCCAGTATACTGTTTATCTCATCAAATCAAGGCAATCGTGTCTCTACAAGGCGAATTCTCGGATGGTACGACCCTGTATTGGTCTGCTACGTGAAATATGATTCATACTAACATGAGTATTTGACGTGGGGAGGATCTTGACATTACTTTCCCCGGCATGGAAATGCCGAATCTCACGTCAGGGCTGCAATGCTCATGACGGAGAAATTGACGCTGGAAAACACACCGTAGCTGATAGTAGCAATCCAGCCTCTAGTGAGTATTCAACGTCCAAAGTTTTGGTTGACAGACGCGCTGAAGCCAGACAGACAGACCTACAATATTCTACTAATATTCTATCTAAGAAAGTCGGTAGTATAGCTGATGGGATATGATGACCTTGTAATAGCAGGCGTAAGCTGATTTGTGGGATCGGGCTTCCTCCTCGACAGTCACGTAATTGGCCTAGCAACTCTTGGCCAAATGCTCTGCTGTGCGTGCGAAATTAGCCTGACTTTGAGAAAGTCGGCTTATCATGGTAGCAAGAAAAAAAAAAGAACAGCATAGACTGACTTCTAAAATGTACGGTTGAGCTATCCGGACGAAGACGGTGGGAAAAGCACTTCACGCTCGCCACATGGTTGGGTCCCCGATATAATAGATGAGGAGGGAGATGCCAACTCGCTCTAGGATGGGACCGCTTGATGAGTAGCTGCGTGGAATTACCAATACGACAGGGCGGTTCTACGTAGCGTTCCCTTTGCCAATTTCAAATAGATGACATCCATGGCGCCAGGCCTGTTTCTTACTATAGTGATAACAACTCCCAAATGGAGCGTGCCGGATTGCCGATATCTCCGGGGCAGGTCTTGGTCGTCTGGGCATGCAATAGAAGCGCTGTCGAAATACCAACGTGGTAGAAGGGAAGGCACTTGATACATTCTCATTTCACACTTTATCACTCTTGAGCGTCGGGTTAAGCTTGGGATGCATCTTCAGATTGAAGCACCCGGATAACCAAGCATCTTTAGTGATCAAGGACAATCTAAACCACGTGAGACGCCTGGACGAACAGCATGGCCAGCCGTTCGTTCATGGCAATAAAATGATTGATCAGCTGCATCGATTTGAGGGGTGGTGCCCCTGCGATTCAGACGAACTCGATGGGCTGACCATGAGCCCAAAGCAAGGGAGATACTGGGACGCTGCAGGTGTTGGGGAGCAGTTGCACCACCACATGCAATGAGCGGCTTAATTATTTAGGGGCATGTCCTGAGGCGAATCAAACAATGAAATGGGATTTGCAGGGGTGGTCTGTGTTGGCGGGACCTTCACAGTCTGCTGCCTATCCGAGTAAAGATGTTCACTTCTCGCCTCCCTCGCGGCCGCCCCAGTGAATAGTGTTTATTGAGAATCCCTGCGCATGAGGGATGGATTCATGGTTAATGAAAGCATAAATGCTATGTTTGATTCGGCCTCGGTATCTTCGCACGATGGGGCCATATATCCTCAGAACGTCCCCCTCCCGAGACGGACGAACTTTTGGGCCTTGGCAGACTGAGCAGCAGAGGAGTAAATGCTGATTCATTTGAGCGCCAGGATGCTAGCGTACCCAGAGATCACCTGTCAAGCGTCCTTGGCGGCGCGCGGGGGGTCCATTGCCAAGGACACAATCCATGGCCTGGTCCACCGTTTTCTCCGCCACCCCGGGGCCGTTGCAGCAGCGTGTCTCGAGGTGTCGAGCTGGACAGATTGGTAGCGTGAGACTCGGAATCAGCCGACAAATCGGGAATCCAGACAGCCCTTGGCATGCCAAAAGAGCGCCGTGGAGCCGTGGTTGAGATGAGGGGGGGGGGCTATCAAAGAAG